GCATGTTCCTCGACAGTCGTGTTGGTTGTATAAGACGACCTTCCTTAGTTACAGCCACTTTTTTGTTTTCTATTTTATAGAGCATAGTTAGTCTAGCGTCTTTTCGCCTTTTTTTCCAGAGATGGCCATTCCAGGTGCTCAATCATTTTGCTGACACTTGAGTGATTATGGTGTTTGTTGGAAACATATCTTGCTGCTCGTCTCTGGACCATTTATAGACGATCTATTTCGGTTTTAAAGTATGGGTCCCATACTGGACTTGCATACTCTATTATTGGTCTTGCGAGGCTTTTGTATGCATTTTCTTTGACTGAAGTTGCTCCTATGTTTAGATTTCTCTTAAGGAAGCCTATTGTCCTATTGGCTTTGTTACATATGTTATTGATATGATCATTCCACTTCAGTTCGGATGTGAAGGTGCAACCAAGGTATTTAGCACTTTTGACAGGTTCAAGTTTGTGGCCTTGCAATGTGTACGATGTTGGAATGGTGTTGTTTTTGCGGCTGATGGTAAGAACGTTGCATTTGTCCGGATGGAAGGACATTTTCCATTTGACTTCCCATGTTCCCAGTTTGCCCATGTCGCTTTGGAGGTCGTTTGAGTCTTTGTCAGATGAGATGGTAAGATATGCTATTGTGTCATCAGCAAATAGGCGGACAGTAGTTTTGACCCCATCTGGCATGTCGTTGATGTAAAACAAGAATAATGCAGGACCAAATACAGAGCCTTGGGGAACTCCAGATTCTACATCAATATGTGATGAGCTCTCTCCATCCACTACTACTGCTTGCGTTCGATGGGATAAGAAGCTGGCAATCCATCTATTGATTTTACCACTGATACCGTAATGTTCTAGTTTGTGTACCAGGAGACTATGACTGTCTTTGTCAAATGCCTTTGAGAAATCCATTATGAGAACATCTGTCTGTTTACCTGCACTCATATTTTTAGTGATGTCATCCACGAATTCGATTAGTTGGGTTTCGCACGAGCGTTTACTACGGAAACCATGTTGTAACGGATAGAGGATTTGATGTTGATCAGCATGTTTCATGATATGGCTTGTAACTATATGCTCTATTAGTTTGCAGCAAATGCAAGTTAGAGAGATTGGTCTATAGTTTTCTGCTTTATATCTTTCTCCTTTCTTGTATACTGTTGTTACGTTCACATTTCTCCAGTCAGGTGGTACATCCCCAGTTTCTATTGATGTTTTGAAAATGATTGTAAGGATTGGGGCTATTTCTCTGGCCAGTTCGTTGAGTAGTTTAGGTTTTATATTATCTGGTCCAGCTTCTTTATTTGGATTTATTTTTGTCAGAAGTTTGAGTATACCATTTTCTGTGATGTTGAGTTCCTCTGCTGAGGGATATTGGCCTAGCATATTGCATCTGGATTTAAACTCGTATTCATTATATGTGTCCTTGGTGGAAAAGGCAGATTGGAATTGCTTGTTTAGAATGGTTGCTTGGTCTACAGGTTGTGTGTGTAGTATACCTTCACTGCGAAGTGGTGCAACTCCATTGCTTTCTGTTTTCTGATGTTTGATGTATGCCCAGAACCGTTTCATACTACTATATTGGTTGTTTTCCTCCTTAGGTGTTACGATGTTCTCAATGTAGTTCCAATATGAACGACGGAGCTCTCTTAGTACCATTCTCTTTGTTTCTTTAAGTTTGGATGTTATTGAAGGATCAGCTGACTTTTTATGTTCGGTTGTGAAGATTGTTTCTTTGACAATGAAGAATGGTTCCCAATGAATACAAAATAAGATGAGGAACGACTATCAACGAGACAATAAATGGTAGGTGGTGGTTCCGATGCGGATTCAGGATTTCAAAAAGGGAGCCAACCAAAGCAATGTTAACGGTAGAAAGTCTACGCATTAATCCAATATGTAGCTCAATAAAGGGGGGGGGGGGCTGAAATCGGCCTCTGTGATTGATAACAGTAGTATTCTATGAACAGATCTTTATAAATGCAGGAGTATTGTGAACAGCAGAATACTGTGAACAGATATTTATAAATGCAGAGTATTGTGTTATTTGTTGTAAGTGTAGGTGGTGGTTGAAAACAGCAGTATACTTTAAACAGATATTAATAAATGCAAGAGTACTGTGACAGTATTATACAAACAATGTTAAAATCTTGCAGTCAAATTCAACTGATTTTGTGCATTTTCTATGACCACTGAGTTGAAGGGAAAGGGCTTGGTCAATAGAAGTTTGACCTAAAACAGCAATGGAAATTCAGTGAATTAAATGTTAAAAACTTTTTGTAGGCTTAACACACGTCTTATTGGCAGATCCAGGTTTTTCAAATTTCCAGATTTTTGTTCTTTAAAGAAGAGGCAACTTAGAATCTGATTAAATTTTGCAGTTTACAGTATAGTTTCTAACTTTCTATTATAGTTTCCTAGATAATATGCTCATTCTCTATCGATTATAGTTTCTGCAAAATATTTGTATATATCTTGGTCATTTTTTTACAATTTCAAGTTACTATAGTAGTATTCAAGATAATAGCCAAAATAATGTGAAATTAGCTAATAAAAGATGAATATTTTAGGGTTTTTTTGATTTTAAACTTTTAAGCCAAAAACTGCATTTAACCCCCATCATCTATTTTTAGCAACAGTGGCCACGATTTTTCATGGATCAACTCATGGGATTCATTTTTCAAACTTGATGCTCTAAGGAACATTCAGGTAAAGTTTGGTTCCATTTGGCCCAATATTTCAATAGAAGATTTTTTTAAAACCTGCTAGGAGAAAACATAAAGGAACTATATACTGTAATCAGCCTTCCATTCATTAGTAATACATATTGGTGAAGGACTGTCAACATGCATTGCACTAATCTAAATGACAACATGCATATCACTGTGTGTTACTTGGAGACCATTCCATTAAAATAAATGTAAAAGGATAGGAAGGGAAATTATATTTTTCAACTTGGTTGTATGTATATTTTGTTTATGAAAAATTACTCAAATTCTGTTGAGTGTGGGAGGATCTTGAACTAGAGGCTCTAAAGAGCCTGTGTTGCTCACCTTGGTCTATGTGCATATTAAACAAAGGACACAGATGGATTCATGACAAAATTGTGTTTTGGTGATGGTGATGTGTTTGTAGATCTTACTTTACTGAACATTCTTGCTGCTTACAATTATCTCTATCTATAATGAACTTGGCCCAGTAGTTACAGTGGAAAATATTTTGTAAAAATTTACAAAAATTGACTATAAAGGGCAATAACTCCTCAAGGGGTCAATTGACAATTTTGGTCATGTTGACTTATTTGTAGATTTTACTTTGCTGTACATTATTGCTGTTAACAGTTTATCTCTATCTATAATAATATTCAAGATAATAACCAAAAGCTGCAAAATTTTCTTAAAATCACCAATTCAGGGGCAGCAACCCAACAACGTGTTGCCTGATTGGTCTGAAAATTTCAGGGCAGATAGATCTTGACCTAATGAACAATTTTATCCTGTAAGATTTGCTCTAAATGCTTTGGTTTCAGAGATAAGAGCCAAAAACTGCATTTTACCCTATGTTCTATTTTTTAGCCATGTCGGCCATCTTGGTTCGCGGGCGGGGTCATCGGACACATTTTTTAAACTAGATACCCTAATGATGACTGTGGACAAGTTTGGTTAAATTTGTCTTAGAAGATTCAGAGAAGATTTTTGTAAAAGATTACAAAAATTTACGAAAAATGGTTAAAAATTGACTATAAAGGGCAATAACTCCTTAAGGGGTCAACTGACCATTTTGGTCAAGTTGACTTATTTGTAGATCTTACTTTGCTGAACATTATTGCTGTTAACAGTTTATCTCTATCTATAATAATATTCAAGATAATAATCAAAAACGGCAAAATTTCCTTAAAATTACCAATTCAGGGGCAGCAACCCAACAACAGGATGTCAGATTCATCTGAAAATTTCAGGGCAGATAGATCTTGACCTGATAAACAATTTGATCCCATGTCAGATTTGGTCTAAATGCTTTGGTTTCAGAGATATAAGCCAAAATCTACATTTTACCTCTATATTCTATTTTTAGCTATGGCGGCCATCTTGGTTGGTTGGCCGGGTCACCGGACACATTTTTTAAACTAGATACCCCAATGATGATTGTGGCCAAGTTTGGTCAAATTTGGCCCAGTAGTTTCAGAGGAGAAGATTTTTGTAAAAGTTTACGGACGACGGACGCAGGACGCCAAGTGATGAGAAAAGCTCACTTGGCCAAAAAAGTAAAATAACAAAAATACCGAACTCCAAGAAAATATCAAAACGGAAAGTCCCTTACCAAATGGCAAAATCAAAAACTCAAACAAATGGAAAACAACTGTCATATTCTTGACTTGGTGCAGGCATTTCCTTATGGAGAAAATGGTGGATTAAACCTGGTTTTATAGCTAGCTAAACCTCTCACTTGTATGACATATACTCTAATATCTTTCCTGTGGAATAGCCAGAATTAAATAGTTTACCCCCTTTGTAGTTGAGAAAAATATTTGTAATTCACAAGTATAGGCCTTTAGACACTAGCCTGCTCACTGCTCTATACAGATGCTTTGCAGTTTGGGACATGATCTTGGGCTATATGCTTTCCAAATGACTGAAGACCTTTTTGGTAGACATTACTTAGGATTTGGACCTCTGTAGGATGGTTTTTTGATTTTTTTGGTAAAACATTTTTTGGTTTCAGTTAGAAAATATTCATTTTTTGGGGGGGGGACATGCCATTAAATATCAGATCTATTAAGAACACTAAATAAATGGATTTATAATCGAACACAAATAATGATTCCATTGCACTGTAACATTTCTTAAACTGTATGACAATATTCTGATCTGCAAAGACTATTAAGTATTAGAAAGCTTTGATTGTTTATAATAGTTATCATGTATATCTGACCCAAACCTTTATTCAAAATTTCCCATAAAGCAATATTTAAGAATCATTTTCATGAAAGGAAAAGAACTGTTTTAATAGTCAATAAGCTTTTATTTTCTGTTAAAACTTATAAAATGTTCAACATGAAAATATAACATATCATGAACACATAAGACATCGAAATGGAATTTCATAACATCTGAAATGAAAATTACATCTCAATCAAGAAAGAGTTCTTTTCAAAATCTGTTATCAGCATTGTATCAGTTTTTACTCATATATACAGGAAATACTAAGCTAAACCTTTTCTTCAAACAGTAACCAACATTACTTACTTAGTTGCTGTATATTTCATCATATGCCCATTATTAGAGATAAAGAAAACATTTCACAAAGTCTTCATTTTTTGTTTTATATGTGTTGAAGAATTTTTACGATATTAAATAGCTAACATTTATTTTGGAAGTATATAAGAAATCAGTGTTCAGGATGTTATGATTCTTGTCATTGAATACATTACATGAGAAGTGTTATATGGTCAGCATTTCTTGTCAAAACAACTTTATAATGATTGATAATACGAGTTTTTACAGGCGATTAACAGGTCTATTTTTTAATAATCAAAACAGAGTCAGAAACAAGATCATAGCTGCCTAGAGACAACAAAATTCTATAAAAATACATGTAACCATCACAAAAAAATATATAGCTACATATAAAAGAGTTTCTCAGTAGCCAGAAAAGTCTAGACAGTAAATTATATAACTTTTAACAAAAACAAGAACTGGGTTAAGTTCCATTATGGTGCTATTCAAAGGAAAATTAAGTTTCAAGGTTCTGAATGCGAGTTTACATTCATAACTAAAATGGCATAAAAAATTACAAACAACCCTAATTTTTACTCAATAGAAAATGTTGAGTCAGGTAATTAATGAAATAGTTTAGATTAAGTCTTTAACGAGAAAAAAACCAACTTTCCTTAAGTTTCTCTTTCCATTCTTTTAGAGCAAGTCTTCAAGTCCAGAATTTGTGAACAGACAATAGAATAATGATTTTGGTTAATTGTCATTGGGTTGTTGTTTCATGACATATACCTTAATCACCTTCTATCTATATTGCTAAAAATAGTAGAAAAAAAACAGCATGTGTAAATACTTTAAAAAAAAAAATTCTTAAAATACACTTAATGTGCCAAAATGACAAATATTTGACAATGGACAAGTAATGAAAGTGAAAGAGAGAAGATGTTTGAAACTACAAATGCATTTTAAACCAATGGAAATATTGAAATAATTGACTACTAATTTTCCTAATATTTCCTTTGGTGAAACTTTTTCTGTTCTTAATAAATCTTATAACAATATATCTTAATGATATCAATAAAATTGGTAAAAACAGGCTTTCAAGATATTCAACACATATCTACTGACTTTAGCCATAACTGGTATTAATACTGTAGCACAAGTATGTATTTTTCTTAACAAATCAGACAATATTTGTCAAGATAGTACTTTAGTAAACTATGTTCTACATGACATAAGATGTGACAAGTCTTCTGAAGTGTCTTTATTCACTTTTGTATTTGTGGTGTTTTTCTTTTCTTCATCAATCACTGTCTTCTTTCATTTTCTTATGTTTCTTTTTCTTCTTCTTTTTCTTTTCTGGAGAAGCCTGCAATCAATGTTACATATATTAAGATTAACTATATTGACTTTGCTGTATTACAAGCATAAATCTCAGTTATGATAATACTTATAAAACTACAGCGTTCTAATGTCCAATGCCAATGCACATATCAAATCGTCCAAGGGTAATAACTTCAACATTTTTTTTTGGTTCTTTTAACTTATTTCTTAATATCCTCCAAGCAATATCAGTGTGAGGGCAATGCAATTTTTCATATAATTTAACTCCTGTAAAATAGTTGATTAGTACCGACTACCAAATGTGTCCATGACCTTGCTGTAATAAACCTTTCATACAAATTTCATAAAAATCTGAAAAATGAGGTGGTGACAGTGCTATATACTATTTTTAATATCAATTATATCTAACAGGGACACGAAAAATAGTTGATTGGCACTGATTTTTGAAACCCTCTTAGATATTGCTGATATAAACCTTTGTTCTAGATTTCATCAAAATCTGGCAAGACATATAGACGCGAGAGCACTTTCAATGCAATTTTCAAAATAATTCCATTTAACTGTTACATTTCTGTGTTCATAAATGAGCTTGCTTTATGATGTTAGAATATGATCATTGGAAAAGACCAAAAATGAGCTTGCTTTATGATGTTAGAATATGATCATTGGAAAAGATAATAAAGTAATAGTAAGCTTCCATAAGGACACAACTCCTGTAAAAATAATTACACTCATCGAAGACATAGCTGATATAAACCTTTGATGTGAATTTCATAAAAATCCCCAAAATAATATAGGTATCAAAGCACAACTTGCCTTATAATTTATGATTCTGAGTGGCATGACTTCTAAAAAAATTGTAAAGGATTAAAAAAACAACATTCACTTTTGGGATTGTACTGCAAAACTCAAAGAATATGTATGCTTGGGAAAAGGAACAGCATCATAAAACTCTTAAAAAGGATAAATACATATGTAACATACTTCCTCAGAACTCTCTTCTTCATCTTCTTTCTCTTTTTCCTTGTCTTTCTTTTTCTTTTTCTTCTTTTTCTTTTCAGAATCACCACTAGGTGTCACCGGTGTAGCTGGAGCACTAGGTGTACTGTCTTCTGAACTACTGTCTTCAAACTTTCTCTGAAATGACAAGATGAAACTTATTAATAACTTGATTTAAGAAAAAGAAGGCTGTTCTAAAATTGTATGTGTTGCAGTGATAGATGCAAATTTACTGTATGTTTCAAAAGATACATCAACAAATTTATAACTCAATCATCCCAACATATGGCCCTGATTCACTAAAAAATCTGTATATTGTAAAAGGTAAATTTTCAAGCAAATTTAACATTTCATAAGGATAAGGGGATGTGGTATGATTGCTAACGAAACAACTATTCACCAGAGTGTAAGGAACATGTCAGTATTTTTTTCTCTTTACAATTAACTGTTTAGTGTGATATATTCTAGTTTCATAATCTAATAAAATTTAGTTTTTCTACAACACTATTTTTAAGAATTTGTAGGTCAAGGAAAAAATAAGTGTAAAAATAAGTACTTTTAAACCATTGAAAATATTTGAAAACTGCATACCTTTCCTGGAGTAGCTGGTTCTTTCTTCACTGACACATCATTAGAACTGAAAGTAAAATATTAGTGTTAATTCATTGACACATCATTAGAACTGAAAGTAAAATATTAGTGTTAATTCATTGACACATCTTTAGAACCGAAAGTAAAATATTATAGTGTTTTCTATACAAGCAAATAGTAACTTGTATTTAAATCTTTAACTTTTGAGTACCTTAATCTCAAATCTGTGAAAAAAAATGAGTAAACTAAACTTTCTTATGTCTTGAGTGTTTTTCCCAGTCACTATTAAAACAAGATTCATTGATAGCAATTGCAATATAAAGCATCAGCTATAGGCATGATAGAAAACACAATCAATATCAAGTTTGTTCATTAGTAATGTTAGTAAACTGGAGTTACAATAAATGTATGAACAGTATACAACCTAAATCAAGCATTCTGTGAGTATTGCATAGCAATACATAGTCCCCTACCGGTTAAAAATTTATTGTATTGGAACAAAATTCTAACTTGATCTATAACTTGTCATGGTGTAATCTATATAACAAATATCAAGTCAATATCTTCAAGCATGACGAAAAAAAGTGTTGAAAACTGATTATTTAAGTGAATTTTCTAAGTCCAAGGACCATTTTTCTGCACAAAATCATCAGACCAGAACAAAATTCGAACTTGATCTGTAACTTGTCATGATAAAACTATATACCAATTTTCAAATCAATATATTCAAGCATGAACAAAAAAAATGCGGAAAACTGATTATTTGGGTGAATTTTCAAAGTCCAATGACCATTACTCTGCACAAAATCATCAGACTGGAACAAAATTCAAACTTGACTGTAACTTGTCATGATAAAACTATATACCAATTATCAAATCAATATCTTCAAGAATGACAAACTAGAGGCTCTCAAGAGCCTGTGTCGCTCACCTGTATTTACTGATGCTTTGGAAATCATGTAAAATAAGGTTAAAATCATAATTAATAGTATTAGATATTAGATATTATATTGATATCTAAGATAATAACAAACAAGAGTGCACACGCTGAAATGTCTCGCCTTCTTTACTAATCATTGATATTATGTTGATAGTCCTAAATATAAAGCTTTATTACAACTGTCACATAAACTTAACATTAACCAAGTAAACTAAACATTGACCAATGAACCATGAAAATGAGGTCAAGGTCAGATGAACCATGCTAGGCAGGCATGTACAGCTAACAATTCTTCCATACAACAAATAGAGTTGACCTATTGCTTATAGTTTAAGAAAAACAGACCAAAACACAAAAACTTAACACTGAGCAATGAACCTTGAAAATGAGGTCAAGGTCAAATAAAACCTGCGTGACTGCCAAATAGATCATAAAATATTTCCACACACCAAATATAGTTGAACTATTGCATATAGTATAAGAAAAACAGACCAAAACACAAAAACTTAACTATAACCACTGAACCATGAAAATGAGGTCAAGGTCAGATGACACCTGCCAGTTGGACATGTACACCTTACAGTCCTTCCATACACCAAATATACTAGACCTATTGCTTACAGTATCTGAGATATGGACTTGACCACCAAAACTTAACCTTGTTCATTGATCCATGAAATGAGGTCGAGGTCAAGTGAAAACTGTCTGACGGGCATGAGGACCTTGCAAGGTACGCACATACCAAATATAGTTATCTTATTACTTATAATAAGAGAGAATCTAACATTACAAAAAATCTTAACTTTTTTTTCAAGTAGTCACTGAACCATGAAAATGAGGTCAAGGACATTGGACATGTTACTGACGGAAACTTCGTAACATAAGGCATCCATATACAAAGTATGAAGCATCCAGACCTTCCACCTTCTAAAATATAAAGCTTTTAAGAAGTTAGCTAACGCCGCCGCCGGATCGCTATCCCTATGTCGAGCTTTCTGCGACAAAAGTCGCAGGCTCGACAAAAACTGCAAAATTTTTGTAAAATTACTAACTTAGAGGCAGCAACCCAACAACGGGTTGTCGGATTCGTCTGAAAATTTCAGGGCAGATAAATCTAAATCTGATGAACATTTTTGCCACCTGTCAGATTTGCTCTAAATGCTTTAGTTTCAGAGATATAAACCAAAAACTGCATTTTACCCCTATGTTCTATTTTTAACCAAGTCGGCCATGATGGTTGGAAGGCGGTGTCATCAGACAAATTTATTTAACTAGATACCCTAATAATGATTATGGCCAAGTATGGTTAAATTTGTCTCAGTAGTTTCAGAGAAGAAGATTTTTGTAAAAGATTAAAAATTTACAAAAAATTGTTAAAAATTGACTATTGAGGGCAATAACTCCTAAAGGGGTCGACTGACAATTTTGGTCGTGACAACTTATTTGTAGATCTTACTTTGCTGAACATTATTGCTGTTTACAGTTTATCTCTATCTATAATAATATTCAAGATAATAATAACCAAAAACTGCAAAATTTCCTTAAAATTACAAATTCAGGGGCAGAAACCCAACAACCGGTTGTCAGATTTGTTTGAAAATTGTACAGCAGATAGATCTTCCCCTGATAATCAGTTTTACCCTTTGTCAGATTTACTCTAAATGCTTTGGTTTCAGAGATATAAGCCAAAATCTACATTTTACCCCTATGTTCTATTTTTAGCCATGGCGGCCATCTTGGTTGGTTGGCCGGGTCATCGGACACATTTTTAAACTAAATACCCTAATGATGATTGTGGCCAAGTTTGGTTAAATTTGGCTCAGCGGTTTCAGAGGATAAGATTTTTGTAAAAAGCTAACGACGACGGACGCCAAGTGATGAGAAAAGCTCACTTGGCCCTTCGGGACAGGTGAGCTAAAAAAGGTGTGGAAAACTGATTATTTTAGTTAATTTTTTGAGTCAAAGGACCATAACTCTGCACAAAATCATCAGACTGGAACAAAATTCGAACTTGATCTGTAACTTGTCATGATGAAACAATACACCAAATATCAAATCAATATCTTCAAGCATGAAGAAAAAAAGTGTGGAAAACTGATTTTCCGGACTGATGGATGGACAGCAAACCTAAAGTCCCATTCGACTACGTTGGTAGGGGACTAATAGTTGTGACTAAAGTATGTTGTTGAAATGAAAATGATACTTATCACTTTTCTGCATTACATTAATGTTTTAAGTCTCTTAACAAATGTTTCTCCAATCTTTGTGCAACATCTAAACAGACAATGACATAAACAATGATAAAGGACATCTGATGAGAAAATGGAACAGTCAGGCCATGTGCTATACAGAATCAAAAACTTCTCATAACCATTGGCCTTTATTCATTACTTAAGCCTATAAATCCTGTATGTATTAAGTATGCGCAAGAACATTATTATTACTCTTACTTTAAACCTTCCTGTTTCATCCAGTCTGATGGCGTATTTTCATTTGGTTTTCCATGTTTTGTAAGCAATCCTTTCTTGATCATTTCTTTCTTCAAGGAAGCCTGAATGAGATTTAATTGATTACTCTAATCATTCTTATATAAAAATCACATCAATAGTTCAGATAAAATAATGTCCGACTATTGAGCCTCCTCATGGGGTTTTTGATTATGTGATTACTTGGCCGTTTTTTACAGTGATTATTTGATTACCTGACCAAATATTTCATGATTATTTGATTCATTGATATTAAATCTAGGACTGTATTTTTGAATATTTGATTATCTTGTTTAAAAAAATAATGAATGATTATGCGATTATATTGGCAAAAAATTTGTGATTATGTTATTACTTGGACACCCCCATGAGGGGCCTCACTATTGAACAACCACATGTAATCTTAGTTTAATATATATACAACATGCACTTTTTGTTAGTATGCAAATAGAAATCTAATTTAGTGGTGAAATAAAATACTGTCAACCAGTTCCCATTATTCAGTTTAATTCTAATGCATGTGGTTTAATTTCTAAGCCCTTCATCAAATAAATGAGATAAATAAGACCAGACTGGATTACAGAGAAAACTTGCTCTTACATATATACACAAGTTTGTACCAAATCAGCAATCTTGTGAGTGGTTGTTCCTACCTCTTCATTCTATGAGTCAGATTTTAAGTCATCTTTGTCAGATTTTTGGTGACGTCTAGGTTTCAATTTTTACAGTAACTCTGAAGCCTGGTATTGATTGGGGATAGAATAGATGTCATATCAGGCTAAATTCAGATGTAGGATAGAATAGATGTCATATCAGGCTAAATTCAGATGTACGATAGAATAGATGTCATATCAGGCTAAATTCAGATGTAGGATAGAATAGATGTCATATCAGGCTAAATTCAGATGTAGGATAGAATAGATGTCATATCAGGCTAAATTCAGATGTAGGATAGAATAGATGTCATATCAGGCTAAATTCAGATGTAGGATAGAATAGATGTCATATCAGGCTAAAGGAGAAGGTCCAGTAAGACCCCTTTTTGGCCCCAAAATATAGCAGTTTTACAAAATTGTTAAAATGTAAACGTTTAGCTATTTATTGTAAAGTAGAATACTTCTGCTACATAAATATGGGCAGTTTTTAACAATACAATGTATATATATCGGGTACTAGCATCATGAAGTCATGCTAAATTAATGAAATCTTCACAATTTTAGCATTTGAGTTACATTTTAGACGGTTTCAGTCTTAAATGGAAGTGGCTGCATTTGTGTTCATTCTTAATATTTAAATGCAAGTTGTATTTGATGATAATACATAACATATATAAAGGTTTTGAGTGAACACGGATGCGGCCACTTTCATTTTTGACAAAAACCATCTGAAAAGTGACATATTATGGCATATTTGATAGATTTTTCATATTTAAGCTTAAATCTGAGCGTCTTTAATGATAACATCAGTTCAAATCTGTCACATAAACTGATTGAATCGACTGAGGTAGACACTTAAGTGTTTAAAAAGTGTCCAAAATCTTTCATCAGATGAACCTGAAATTTGAGGCCAAAATCGGCCCTTACCGGACCTACTCCTTTAGATGTATGATAGAATAGATGTCATATCAGGCTAAATTCAGATGTACGATAGAATAAATGTCATATCAGGCTAAATTCAGATGTATGATAGAATAGATGTCATATCAGGCTAAATTTAGATGTAGGATAGAATAGATGTCATCAGGTTAAATTCAGATGTACGATAGAATAGATGTCATATCAGGCTAAATTCAGATGTACGATAGAATAGATGTCATATCAGGCTAAATTTAGATGTAGGATAGAATAGATGTCATCAGGTTAAATTTAGATGTAGGATAGAATAGATGTCATATCAGGCTAAATTTAGATGGAGGATAGAATAGATGTCATCAGGTTAAATTTAGATGTAGGATAGAATAGATGTCATATCAGGCTAAATTTAGATGTAGGATAGAATAGATGTCATCAGGTTAAATTCAGATGTACGATAGAATAGATGTCATATCAGGCTAAATTCAGATGTACGATAGAATAGATGTCATATCAGGCTAAATTTAGATGTAGGATAGAATAGATGTCATCAGGTTAAATTTAGATGTAGGATAGAATAGATGTCATATCAGGCTAAATTTAGATGTAGGATAGAATAGATGTCATCAGGTTAAATTTAGATGTAGGATAGAATAGATGTCATATCAGGCTAAATTCAGATGTACAATAGAATAGATGTCATATCAGGCTAAATTTAGATGTAGGATAGAATAGATGTCATCAGGTTAAATTTAGATGTAGGATAGAATAGATGTCATATCAGGCTAAATTTAGATGTAGGATAGAATAGATGTCATATCAGGCTAAATTTAGATGTAGGATAGAATAGATGTCATATCAGGCTAAATTTAGATGTACGATAGATGTTTTAATTGATGTTAACCATGTTACTTTATTTACTTTTATACATTGCAAAAATCAGAAGTATGCCAATTTATAAAATAACTTTAAGGATATTTGTTATTATATGTACCTTTGGTCCAAGTCCCCACTTCCTGGGGTATGTGTCTCTCTCCATAATAACTCTTTTGATCTTCGCCACTATCCCGTGATCACAGGTAGCCATTACTGCTGTTGTCATCTGAGCTATTGCTGTAATTTATAGTTTCATTTATTGTAGATAGCAATACGTTTCAAAAATTTTGTTTTTTAGGTAATCATTTATTTATATATACTGTAATAAACTTATTGTACAAAGACAAATATGTTTAAAGTCTCCTGAATTTAATACACTATCTCCTGCAACCCCAAAAGACAATAAAAATCTCACAGGCTTACAAAAAAGTCATCAGATGTTTATTTTGGTTGACAATAACGGGGTTCATCCTAAATAAAAACGTTTCCATTCAAGTTGTTCAAAGTTTCAAGTTGTTCAAAGTCATCATATAAAATATTACATTCACACTGACACATACCTGCGGAGGAAAATAAAATAAAAATCCAAATTCCGAAAGAAATGACTGAATGAATCTGTCTATCATAATGGGACAAGGAGGAGGAGTGAAACATTGTTGACAGACATTTCAAACATAAATGGGGAATGTGTCCATGGGACACAGATAATGCACCTGCTTGCACATCATATAAAGTTATAAAGGGACATAACTGAAGAACGGTAAAAGTGACACTATCCAAATTTGTACTTGATCTGAGTTTTGTGGTAATAAGCATTGTGTATAAGTTTCATAACATTTAATTGAGGCAAACTAAAGTTAGAGAACATAATAAAAATAGTAAGTTTTGTTATTGTAAAACAAAAACAAAATATTTCAGATTCCTAAGACTTTTTATTCAATCAATAATTCCATGTGGGATTTAGAGACATGCCTACTGACCCAAACATCAATACAGATTTTGAAGGTAAAGGCAGGTAAAACAGATCAATAATTGTCCTTTGATTCCTTCTAAAGGTTCATGGGGGAGATAGTAATACTAATGCTCAAGTTTTATTATGACCAATAAGTACTTTTTGAAACCCTCCTTTTATCAGATATACAAAACCTCTTTACCTAAAGCAACTGCCTCTCCTTTTGTTGTGACAATAACTATTTCCTGGTTAACCTCGATACCATCTTCATACCTAAGAACCCCGGGTAACATTATCTTCGCACCATAACATACAGCATTCACCTAAAAAAAAACATGCTATATAATCTTGCATATGATAAACAAGAAACAAAAAACTCAAGTACGTATGCATAAATGACAAATATTTTCTATACACTGAATATATATTATTTTGCAATACACTAAATACAATAAATTGAATTATTGTTCTTGCTGATGTTTAACAGATGTTAGTTAAGGAGTTAATGTCAATGTGTTCGTCTATTTTCATTTCATTTATACGTCATGTTTAAGACAAAATGAAGAAACACCATTCAACGCTACAATAACTTTACAAGTTCCATATATTGAACATTCTCTTGTGCCAAGTACTATATTCTTCAAACCATCTATATATGAGAAATTGATGTTACCATGGTTTTTCAACTCCATCAGCACAATTCTAAATGAATTCACATTGTTTTAAAATCAGTTTCAAGTCACCCTAAAATCACTGTGAAATTGAACAAAATTTTGTCTCACATCATAATGGACAATTGATAACATTATGTTGCTCTTCAAAGATGAATGTATGACTTACTGCTGTATCTTTCATGATAACACGTTTATGACCTGTTAGTAGTGCCTCCAGTGGTTTTATTGCACGCCTGAGGTATGTTTCGTCTTTATGGTTGTCATATAACCACTGGGCATCCATCACATCATGCATGGTAACCATTCCTACCTGTCAAAGCATACAAGTTCTACTGAATACAGATAAAATCAAATTAAATAACCCAAAGATATCATGCATGGTAACCATTCCTACCTGTCAAAACATACAAGTTCTACTGAATACACATAAAATCAAATTAAATAACCCAAAGATAATACAAGTTTTTTTAAAATTTCTGAACATACATGTACTTATGGTATTTAGAATTCTATTTCAATTATACATTTCTAAAAAAGGCTTTGAAGATCTAAGTTTGAAACTTCTACTGTAGTTTAAGTGATTCCATATTTTCGTCACTGCATGATCAGTATTCTTGTGTTTAATGAAAGATGATATTGACTGTAGTATTGATCAACTGACCTTTTCTGACTGAATACCAGATCTGACTCTACGAAGTTCCTGCATCTGTCCACCAACACCAAGGAAGAGACCAAGATGTACACACATTGTACGAATGTAGGTGCCTGCCTCACAGCTCACCCAGAATATACCTGAGTAAGATATGAATGCACTCCATATTATGTCACAGCACAAGCTGAATTCAATTCATGGAATAATGTTGATCTCTTCTCATATGTTAAGATAATCTAAGACCATCAAATGTGACATTTTCTTTACATTTCCCAGCTTATTCTGTTTATCAGTATAATTTTTAATGTTTATGAACTTCAATTGAATAATAAATCCATTTAATTTAAATATATTGACCAACAGCTACAGGATTGTTCATTTCATAAATTACAAGTATGTCTTAAATTGTTTCAGATTATGATAATCCCTATATACCAACTTACCCATTCCTCTTTCAGCATCATATTCCCTCATCTTCACTTCATACACTGTTCTGATACGCAATTGTCTTTTTACAGCTGATATTAATGGGGGCCTTTGAAACAAGGCACCAGTCAATTTTTCTAATTTCTGGAAAAATATACATCATTTTATATACAGTTTATCCAACACAGTAACTTTTCATCACAAAGAACAAAATGATGCATGCGGTATCATAACAATTGATTAACACAAAACTTTCCTGTACACATGTATTATAATGTAAACAAATAGCACTTCCAGAAGTATATTAAGGATGTAATTTGTATGCAAAAAGAACTATAATGTATATCTTAACGATCGCATATAATTGGATTTGAGCTAACAGCAACCATATTAGATCCACCCAAGTAAATTTGCTGGGTAAAACTGAATTTTAGAACAGTTGAAAGAGATATGTCTTGCTGTTGGCAGAAAATTAGAAAAGGACAATCTGATTGGATTGACAGCCACATTGCTAATCAATTCATAGTTGCTGGACCATGACCTACGGAGCGAGGCCTCGAAATGGTAGACAAAGTGAAATGTACTGATAGTTATGCAACTTTATAGAATATATAATTGTCTATCCTAATTAGTTCCTATCAAATTAACTTGAGCAGAAAACTGCACATTGAAAATTGGTAATTAATTGAAAGTCACTGGACCATGGCTTACAGGAGCAAGGCCTTGAAATAGTCATCAAACTGATATGTACCGACAGTAATGCAAATTTATAGAAAATATCATTGATCTATCACAAATAGTTCCTATCAAACTGATTTCAGCAGAAAAATTAACATTGAAAATCAAATTAATTCAAATTCACTGGACTATGACCTAGGGGGCAAGGCTTTCAAAATGGTTGACAAACCGAGATGTACTGATAGTAATGCAACTTTATAGAAAATATCATTGATCTATCACAAGAAGTTTCTATCAAATTGACTTAAAAAAGGAAAATTAACAATTGTTGATGCCTACACTTCGGGAAAAGCAACAGCTGTGTCTCGCCTTCTAAGACAGGTGAGGCAAAAATAGCCTTACAATTCAACCTGACAGAAAATAGCCTTACAATTCAACCTAACAGGTTATAGATGTATCCCTTTATAATGTTTTATGATTTGGAGTCATATTGGTATCTTTGAACAGAATTTACACATATAAAACATTGATAATAACATAAATTGAAGCTCAGCTTGATAAAATTTCAGTAGAAGATTGTTATATTCTCCCATTAGTCATTTTCAATATACTAATTTGATTCAAATATTGGATATTTTTTGCACAATAAAACAGCACTTAGGTATAAAGACAAACTAACAATAATCAGCCTATTATTGCAACAGGTACACAGTACTTAATCCAAGTTATCTGACATACCTGACACACAAGTCGTTCATCTTCTATAGGACTGTGTAGTCTAAATATACACACATACTCCTTTCCAGCACCCTGCTGTGATTTGACCAATCGTGTGGCTCTTTCTATACATACAATCAGACATCCTGTAACCTTTGGATCTAATGTACCACTGTGACCTGTTTTCTCCACTCGTAATATTCTCTTGATCCATGCCACAACTTCATGAGATGATGGATTGGCTGGTTTATCAAGATTTATATAACCACACCTGTAATATCAAAACAAAGAAATGTAGATTTTGCTCAAATTACATCATAGATTCCATATCTCCCCCTTTTTATACTAATGTTGTACATGTATGTGTAAACTTTTAAGCTTAGGGAACCATCTCAATATCTAAAATAAAAATTTGATGTTATATATACTAATTTGGAGCTTTCTCAGACTTGCATATTAGACTTCAGAGAATTTCAGAAATCAGGGTTCAAAGTTTCAGTCATCACAGAAAGCTATTTCATCTAATAACTCAAACTAAATAATCAGAACACAAATATTCTGTCTGTAAACCTGAACAAGTAATTTTTCTCTAAAAAGTGGTCCTTTACAAAAAATTACATTGTACCCCTATGTTCTTAAAATATTAATAATGTTTAAAGTTTTCAACTTTTTTTTAAAGTATTTAAATTTGAAAAAAACTAACAGATATGATCTATTGAAACCATTATATTCAAGTAACCAGAATTTGCAGACCTTCCCATAACAATTGTGTGTACAAGTATTAGTTGCTTTAAATTGATAAAATTTAAAGCACTAGAATGAGTGAAAAATTAAACAACACAACTATTATGTGACAGGGACATAAATAGATGTCAAAGATAAAGGTGCATTTCTATAAACTATTTTTAGAATTACACATGAGCATGGTTTCATGTTTGTACATAGAAAAAAGTATGTATATCACAAAACATGTTTAACCCTGCCATATTTTTGAACCTGTCCCAAGTCAGGAGTTTCTGGCCTTTGTTAGTCTTGTTATGTTTTTTAGTTTTAGTTCATTTATATGTTTTGGAGTTTAGTATGACGTCCATTTTCACTGAACTAGTACACATTTTTATTTAGGGGCCAGCTGAGGCCCACCTCTGGGTGCGGAATTTTCTCGCTGCGTTGAAGACCCTGGCCTTCAGCTATTTTCTGCTTTTTGGTCGGGTTGTTTTCTTTTTGACATATTCCCCAATTCCATTCTCAATCTTATATCATGTATAAATATCCTTTCAGAGAAAAATATTAGAGTGATTGACATTTTTAAAATCATATTAGTTCATTATTTTTCCATCATCATGAAGGACATTCAACAGTGCTTTTTCATACATTGATATATAATTACTGTGCCCAGAGGCACATAGAAGTATACAAACTGGTCCTATTTTCACAGCTATTTTCTAATTACCTTTCTGTGTCTAACCACCTGATAAAAGTCTTCAATCAGGACTAGATTTCACCAAAAAATTTACTATTAAAATTGATTGCAAGTCTTGAACAATTCAGTATACTTACAAATGTACGATCAAATTGGGTTTTTTTTTGTGAAATACCGGCCTGTTCTAAGTTTCAAACATGTCTATTATTTTTAGAAGATATAAGTACTATATAAACAGGAAGATGATGAGCCATATATATCTGAAACAGTGTTACATGGTTATAGCTGAAATGAAGCTATATAAAAAATTTCAGGAAGCTTGGATTTGTTGTTTCTAAGAAAAATCGGACTAAAATTTCAGAAATGGTTATTTTGTTTAGAATATACAACTATTCAGTAAACAGGAAGTTGAAGCACCATTAATCTGAAACTATGTAACATGTCATGTCATGCTCACATGAAGCCAAATAACAAATTTCAGACAGCTCTGATTTCTAGTTGCTAAGAAAAATGAGACAGAAATTTCATGGGACGGATGGACAGACAGGGCTTTAATAGCATAGCCCTCCTTTGGATCAGATGTATAAATATTATTTACTGTCTGATTGCTTAACCCACATCTATTATTAATATGACATCAGCTGGAAAATGATTTCTTTACTTATTTGGAGCTTTCTCAGACTCGCATATTAGACTTCAGAGAATTTCAGAAATCAGGGTTCAAAGTTTCAGTCATCACGGAAAACTATTTCATTAATACTCAAACTAAAACATTAGATCACAAATATTCTCTGATAACCAAAACATAAATTATTACTAGCAATTTTTCCTCATCAAATTTGTTATTCTATGGACAAATAAATCAAAGCATCATCACTATTGCGATCCAGCTAATTTTTTTTTTATAAAAATATGCAAATATTTTTTTCTTTATCTCATTTTAATTTTTTTCCCCATCAACTTGATTGAAAGTATTTCAATTTGAATAAAAATCAAAACAGATGTGAATATAGAATGATGGAATTATAACATTAGAACTACTATGTGACAGGGTCATTAAACAATGTCAAAGATTAAGGTAATTCTCTTTACTATTTTTTTTAAGAATTGCATATGAGCATGGCTTCATTTATTCATGTTTGAACATAGGAAAAAGACATATGGGGTGCATATTTCATGTGACTGAAACAGTATAAATATCCTTTCAGAGAAAAATATTAGAGTGGTTGACATTTTTAAAATCACATATGCTCATTATTTTTTCATCATCATGAAGGACATTCAACAAAACAGTTTCATACATTGATTAATAAAGAAGCACATAGAAGTATACAGACTGGTCCCTTTTTTCACAACCAAGTTATAACTACCTTTCTGAACCTAGCAGCTGATACCAGTCTACAGACCATTTATTTTTTTTCAAGCAACTAGCTAATTTGATAGACATTTTAAAGCTATTATCTCTGAACATTCCATGACACAGCAGTGGACAGAGTATACAATGTAAACATAAGGAGTTTTGCAACAGTTTTATTATCACAGCTATTCTTAGTGATACATCTGTACAAATGTGACATGATCCCGCTGTAGTTTCCCTATCATGATAGACAGTTATAACATTGCATAACTTACTTGATATATTCTTCTATTGGTCTTTTGAGTGGTGAACTACCAGATGGTATGGGTGTGTAATGGGCTGTCCTAATATTTAACTTGTCAAAATTCTACAAATTTACAAACACAATTAAACTTGAATATCTAATGGCAGAACTTTCTGACATAATAGCAGAGACTCATGGTTGAATTCAATATCAGTATTATAAAGAAATTTTTTTTACAAAATAAATATCATTTCATATCACTTTTGTTCATTATCAAGAATTACATTGTGTATGGCATAAAATAATTCATCTAAGAATGCTTCTAATTTTAATGACACTGTTTTGGAAAAGTTAGATGTGTTTGAGCTTTGATTTTTCCATTTGATATGAATTTTCCTTGGAGTTCGGTATTTTTATTTACTTTTTTAAATATTATACATGTTATACATTGAACTGTCTTTTAGTATTGTTTCAAAAGTTTTTTTGTATTAAAGCAGAAAATTCATCAACAACTGAGTTACAGAATTTCCATGTACTGAATGATTTTAACTGAGATGTGTAAATAATTACCTTGAGTAATAATGGCCATTGTGATGTGTCTAACTTCTCTACTTTGTCTGATGGTTTCAGTAAAAAGTTTTCAGAATGCTGTATATCCTACAAAGAATAAAAGTGTGCACATATTTTCATATGTTATACAACAAAACATTCACTTCAGCAGCATTACTATCCAACTGTGTACCTTGTGTGTTAATTCAGTTTTACTATTTTTTGTGACATTTCTATACAAAGGTTATTCCAGTAAAAAATTGGGGTGGGTATGCGTGTTGGACAACACTGATATACCCCACCACCCATAATTTTTTTATAGTGCCTAACAAGATTTTGTAAGGTAGACGAAATTGACCTTAAAACGATCGTATTGGATTTTGATGTTCAAAAATAGGCAAATCGGACATATTTTGACTTTATTTACTGACTACTTTTGTTTGGGATTAATTGTAATTATAATATTATGATGAGACTGAAAAATGTTTTTTTATTGTTAAGATAAACAATAAATTTACCTGTTGCTGTGCGTAAAATGTATTTCCGCATTTCTCTTTGAAAAATGACTTGTTTAATGGAAAAAAAACGTCTGATTTGTAAAGTTTCTCTTTTTTCTCTGGAATAGGTTATTAAAAAATAATTTACCTATTCTATATGTGGAAAATTTTGTGAAAATATAAGAATTGGCAATTCTTACCTTTCATACCTTTAGTTTTATTGATAAAAACTAATATGGACTTGTCTAGTGTCCAGTTTGAAGGTCATTTAAGTTACTGTACACATTCATGCACGTTCTGATTTAAAGACCTTAACCTTTGACCTACTTGCCCCATAAATAAAGGGGTCTTGTTCTTTCCAAAGGGTTTTGCAGATTAAATTGAATTATGAACAAATTTTTCAAAAGATATAACCTGGAAACCAAAGTGTTGCCCCATTGTCGATGTTAAGTTAACTGTGCTGAAACTAATGTTAATGACATTCTGAGTTAAACCAAGGCCAGATGACAATTGGTGTGAATTGAAGTATAAAAACTTAAATACAAATTAGACAAGAAATGATTGTAACAGGATGCTGTTACGAAGTCTCCCAAACAAAGCTCCCATAATTCGTAATTCCCAGGGTCGCCTGACATTGGGCAACGTCCAGTGAAAATTGGTTTGGTCCAGTAAAGTTATATGCATTAGTGATGCCTGGGGACTAACCTTGTATATCATTCAAATCATCTTGGTATGACAAACCAGAATATATATGGTTTAGGGGTGGGGATCTCGACCATTTACAAGATACTAGAACATTGGGGGTGGGGAGGAACCCCTGGGGACTGGCCCTATACGTCATTCAAATTTTCATTACATGACGAACAGGAATATATATGGTTTAGGGGTGGGGATCTCAACCATTTACAAGATATTAGAACATTGGGGGTGGGGGGAACCCCTGGGGACGGACCGTATACGTCATTCAAATGTTCGAGACATGACAAATAGGAATATATATGGTTTAGGGGTGGGGATCTCAACCATTTACAAGATATTAGAACTTTCTCAAATGGTAGGGGGTCGGGATGACCCCTGGGGACTAACCCTGTATATCATTCAAACCATCTTCGCATGACAAACCAGAATATATATGGTTTAAGGGTGGGGATCTTGACCACTTAGAAGATATTAGAACTTTCTTAAATGGCAGGGGGTGGGGTGACCCCTGGGGTCTAACCCTGTATTTCATTTGATGTGCTTTATCATGACAAACCGGAATATATATGGTTTAGGGGTGGGGATCTCGACCATTTACAAGATATTAGAACTTTCTCAAATGGCAGGGGGTCGGGATGACCCCTGGGGACTAACCCTGTATATCATTCAAACCATCTAAGCATGACAAACCAGAATATATATGGTTTAGGAGTGGGGATCTTGACCACTTAGAAGATATTAGAACTTTCTTAAATGGCAGGGAGTGGGGGTGACCCCTGGGGACTAACCCTGTATAACATTTGATGTGCTTTATCATGACAAACCAGAATATATATGGTTTAGGGGTGGGGATCTCGACCATTTACAAGATATTAGAACTTTCTTAAATGGCAGGGGGTGGGGGTGACCCCTGGGGACTAACCCTGTATTACATTTGATGTGCTTTATCATGACAAAACAGAATATATATGGTTTAGGGGTGGGGATCTCGACCATTTACAAGATATTAGAACTTTCTCAAATGGCAAGGGGTCGGGATGACCCCTGGGGACTAATCCTGTATATCATTCAAACCATCTTAGCATGACAAACCAGAATATATATGGTTTAGGGGTGGGGATCTTGACCACTTACAAGGTATTAGAACTTTCTTAAATGGCAGGGGGTGGGGGTGACCCCTGGGGACTAACCCTGTATTTCATTTAATGGGCTTTATCATTTAGAACATTTTCAATTAAAAAGATTGTGTCTATCACGAACGGTTTTCAATTGATAATCATTTGAAAATTTAAAAAAATAAAATCCCATAGGGTTCTATAGCAAAACCCTCTTTTCTTTTTGCCCCTCAAAGTACCCCTTTATAAACCCCATTGCACAAACAAAACCCTGATTGCACCACTAGACATGTTAGTCTAACATATTGTGAAACCCTAAGTTAATCTGACAAGGGGTTTTGGAGAACGGGTGCAGACAAGTTCAAATTCAAAAGCGGTGGAAGAAGAAGAAGAAGAAGAATAATAATAATAATAAGAACTGAGCAAAAACAATAAGTCTTCCCAAACTTCGTTTGGGAGACTTAAATATCACTTACTGCTATACTTTCATGTTTCTTCTTTTTCTTAGCTGAAAACAAAAAGAATAACAAAATTAGTGGATCAAAGTTCAGATTACCTTGGATTTGGTTTGGTCTAACATGTGGTGTGTCTACTTAATCAACATGTATAAATTAAAGAATTTATTGAGCAAGCAAAATAAATCTACAAACTTTTCCTTAAAATTTGACGGAACAGAATTTCTGAAACGTTTGGTTTGTAGATTTATTTTTTACTCTCAGAAAGTGAAGGATCTTGGGATATTTTTTGGCTGGAATTGTAGCTTTTGTTATTTTATCAATACTTTAGGATATTTCTGGAAAAATTATTCACCAAGAGGCACACAAACGTAATTTTTATATAAATGCAAAAATTTCTAGCCATTAGTGAAGATTTCATGGCAAAATTAAGTCCAAATAATTATGATGTCTTGAAAGGCTATTTTAATTTTTTGCTGTGACACTCTCTATGATGTCATAATGCCAAAGCAATTTTTTTCAGTTGGACTTTGAGAGAATTGACCCAATTTTGGCATGAAATCTTCAAACGGCTAGAAATTTGTGCATATTTTCAAATTCTTACATTTTGTGTTTTTGCTGCTGCAAAAAATTTCCAAAAAAGTCCAACTGACAAAAAAGGTGCCCGTGTTATGATGTTGTAGGAGGGTGTCACACCAAAAAAATAAAATAGCCTTTCAAGACGTCATAATAATTTGGACAAGGCAAAACTTCCTCTCAATAAGTCCAGCGTAATAATGGCTTCAGCTTGATGACAAAATATGAAGACATCAACGCAAAAAAATAAAATAGCTTTTCAATAAGTCCAAATAATTATGAAGACTTGAAAGGCTATTTTATTTTTTTTTTTTGATGCCTTACTGAGACGTCATAACGCTGAACTCATTTATTCAGTTGGACATTGAGAGAGACTTTACTGCTTTAATAAAACGTTTAGCTGATTTCTACTCAAGACGCTTCACTTTAGCAGTAAAAAATAAATTTTTTGCACCAAACTCAGTGAAATTTGATGGACCTGAATTTCCAGATAATATAAAACTAACGATCCAGAAATTCTGGTCTTTCCAATTTTACCAAGTTTGGTACAAACATTTATTTTATACTCTCCTAAAGTGAAATTTGCTAAACGTTTTAAAAAAAGCAGTAGATTATCGTCCACCTCCGATGGAATTGCAACTTATTTTATCATTTCTTTGGGAAATTATTAGAAATATTTTGCACTAACAAACGCATAAAAGGTAAGCATTTGTATATATGCAAAAATTTCTAGTATCAATGAAAATTTTATGGCTAGATTGGGTCTCAAAGTTGAGAGCAAAATTCCTTCTCAAAATCTAACCAAAAAAAATGGCTTCAGCATTATGACATTGCAGTAAGGCGTCAAAGCAACACAATAAGATAGCCTTTCAAGACGTCATAATTATTTGGACTACTTTTCAAGATGTCTTAATCATTTGGACTAGAATGTTAGAGTTGAATTAATAATAATAATAAATAGTAAAATAAATTAGCTTTATATTAAAACAAAAAAATCTTGCATATGACATACCATTGAAACATGGCAATAGTCAGTTTTTGATCATCAAGATGATGACATCAATGCACTATAACAAATAAATACAATAATTAAGTGATTTAAAAAAAAACTTTTTTGGAACACCACGTGCTACTGCCTACTGTTGTATGCGTTTAAAAATATATTCAGCTAAATATGCAATAGTGTAACGTTATCATTCTGTTTCACATGAGCAAAAACATGATTGGCAAATGCTAAAATAAAAGGGCATCTACGTATTTCTGTGAGATGCTACTGATAAATATACAAATTCAAAATACCGCTTGTGTCGGCCATGGTCTGTTTTCTACACGTGTTTGTATTTGTATTGAATGAAAAGTCAAGAGAATAGTGAGAATAATGTAAAATCAAGAGAACTCCTATCAGGAAATCTAAGTTAATTACGCGTTTCAGGTTATATCCGTTTACAATTCGTTTCAACGATTAGTTAAAAACATTGATTTACTGAATTGGCGAAAAATTGAAAAATCCCTCATTCAACAAAACATTCAACATATGAAAGGTCGCAAAGGTTTTGAAATATTTTTCTGTGGATCTCTTAAGTCTTTGAAATTTCAGATATCTCTTTGGATCGTAAAAGGGAGGCGTAAAAAGGGGGAAAATACCTTCAATAGCACGGGCAGTTTTCTCTAATTGTAATTTCATGCATTTTCACGTCGATTCCGAAGTCACAACGCTTGCCTTAGGATATTACGTCACAGAAAGACTTGATTATTGAATGACGTCAGGTCAATGGTGTAACTCGTTCATATAATTTATGAGGCAGGTGTTACCTGTGAAAGGGGAGGCTGTCATCAAACCTTTAGAATACTATAGAATACCCAGCTAACAGCAGTTTAATATATCCTACCGTAGTCTATAATCGGTCATAATGTTGGTTCGTTCGGATTTTGTTATTGTACTTATCACACGGGAAAACTCCGCATTGACGTCACTACGCTAATGCCAGCGTACAAAATTAGTGCAGAATACATTTTTTCTACTCTTCTTAATAAACAAACATTTCTAAAGATATGTTTTCATTGTTATTTTAAAGTATTGTACAAAAATGCCAATTTTCTGATGGCCGTTTCAAACCTGACTTCCGAATGCCTATAAACATTCCAGAACTTCAGAAATCCCCTCTTCCGGCCTCCATTGCTTTGTTTACATTCCATTTAGCGTCATCAATCTTAATGGCAGACCAAACAGGCCAAGCAAATCGTATTTTTAAGAATTTCAAAATGGCAAGCACCTTACGTCTTACGCGATTTTACCGCGAAAAAAACCATCCAAATTGAAAGAAAAACCTTGGGAAACAAACAATAATCATGCCATATTTTTGTTCAGGAATATAGAGTAGGTCATTAAAAAACAATATACATATATTTTTCATAAAAAAAAAATTGGTTCAATATAAAGAGATCGATATTCTGACCATAAGTAAATATTCATATAAAATTCCATTGATATCAAATTTCATGGCTAATAAAGAGATTTCCTATTGAATAAACCCCCAATTTATTGCAAACTATTTCAAAGCAATATCATACAAACAAATAATATAATTGCCTTGTACTAAAAAATCACCTAATTGACAGTAGAGCAATTTGATTGGATATAACGATTCAATGTGTCACGTGGTTTTGAAGCCATTAGAATTTGAATGTAAACAAACCGGGTCAGCTGCTGCAGTATGGAACAACATCGTACATTCAGTGACTGAGAAACAATTATGAGTAACCAAGCTTGACAATACACAGTAATAAAAAAACAAAGTTAAGTCTACAAAAAAATAAAATAAAAAATGGCCTTAAGTGCACGACTTACCACCATTGCGGGATATATAAACGTTTATTGTCTAAAAAATCCCAGCATGATTTCTGGTGAAAAAGGACCTGAATTATGGAAACGTATCCAATGTTGTCCTATTGTTAGGAATTCTATATACGATGCAGTCCGGTAAATCCACCCACGTTAGGCTTTGATCGTATGTATTTCTGCTTAATCATACATAAATTTTATCATCTGTGTTTTTATCAGAAATGTGTTTGTCAGGTGAATCTGCTCATGCACAATAAATGTGCATGGAGGGCCAGTTTATCACATTTATGAAGGGAAAAGGTGATCTATTTATAGATCACTTATAAAGGGATTCCAGACAATCAAAAAAAAAGAAAATAAATTCGGCTGTTTTCTGCTCTTTGGCCGGGTTGTTGTCCCTTTGACATATTCCCCATTTCCATTCTCAATTTTATTTGTGAGCAATGATATGATTATCGTTAGCTTTAGGAACTGTATTATATATATCACTAGATATTTTCGTAATAAAGGATTTTTCTTTAAAATTTGACATGCAGTGATGATAAGAACAGTTCCTATGAATAAAATAGCAGACGAAATATTGACGGAAGTGACAATCACGGAAGTAAATGGGAGTGGGCGGGTTTACTGGATAGTACTGTATGGTGTCATTTTCAATGTAAATAATGATACGTTATCTTCAATTAACGTTTTTTTTTCTCAATTTATAGTATAGTTTAATTTAAAACATAATAATTTATACCTAAAAACAACGATTAAACAAAGTTGGCTTCTTACTGACCTTTTACAGATACAAAAATCTACCTGATTGATATGAGGTGAGATTCCCCAGAGAACTCATTTTATTTGCTATAAAATCATATTTTTAATAAGCTCTAGACTCAATATATTACCTACTCAAACAGAATCAATACAAAATACTCATCCTCATTATTCTTTTTGGTAATCAGTTATACAAATTTGCGGGTAATCAAATGACTTACAACATGGCACCATCTGTCAATAAAACAAGAACAGGGTAATGTGCAAACTCAACTGTTCAAAATAATTATTTTGAGTTCATTAGTATATTGATTTTTTGTTTTTATTGATTTTCTTACTGTTATATATATTAGGGACTTCCTCCCCATATACATTTGTAAAAGAACTCCAGACTGGTGTAGGAATTATGAATTAGTTGCACCAGTTGACAAAAGGTTAAACGACGAAAATGACTTCATTGAACAATCAGTTCTTACTGTAACATTATAACTTAAGAATTGGGACATTGGAAAATGGAAATGTATTGGAAAATGCATAAATTTAAGAGTGATGTATATGAAGCAGGTGTTACCTGTGAAAGAGAACAAAGCCTGTATAAGTTATTAATTAAAACTGATGTAAGTTCTAAGGCAATCAATAATTTTTGTCTTGCCTGTGACAAAAGTCGCATTATGCAAGACATAGGTATTACTATTTGGCAGCGGCGGCGTAAACTATTTGTATAAAGCTTTATATTTCTGAAGGTAGAAGACCTGGATGCTTCATATCTTGTATTGAGATACCTTATGTTTATATGAAGTTTCCGTCTGTCATATGTCCAATGTCCTTGACCTCATTTTCATGGTTCAATGACTGCTTGAAAAAAAATTGAGTGTTTTTTGTCATGTGAATTTCTCACTTATTACATGTATGAGTAATAGGATAACCATATTTGGTATATTGGTTAATTGCAACGTCTACATATTCGTCAGACAAGGTTCACCTGACCTAGACCTCATTTCATGGATTGTGATCAAGGTTAAAGTTACGTGATTGGGTCCCTTTCTCAAATGCTATAAGCAGCTGGTCAACTATATGTGTTGTATGGAATGAATGTAATGGGTACATGTCAGTCTGGCAGATTTCATCTGACCTTGACCTCATTTTCATGGTTCATTGTTAGGTGTACATGTCTGTCTGGCAGGTATCATCTGACCTTGACCTCATTTTCATGGTTCATTTTTTGTTGTTTGGGTCTGTTTTTCAAGTACTGTAAGCAATAGGTCAACTATATTTGGTGTATGGAATGACTGTAAAGGTACATGTCAGTCTGGCAGGTTTCATCTGACTGACCTCATTTTCATGGTTCATAGGTCAATGTTAAGTTTTTTTTGTTTTGGTCTGTTTTTCAATTATCATAAGCAATACATCAAATATATTTTGTGTATAAAAAAAATTGTAAGATGTATATGTTTGTCTGACAGCAATTATCTGACCTGAGTTTCTGCGATGCTTTTAGTTAAGCCTTTATCATTAAGACTTTCAACATAAAATCAATGGTCAGTAAAGCAGGCGAGACATTTCAGCGTGTGCACTCTTGTTACATTTATAAATTGTGAAAAAATAGAAAATACAAAAAATCACTCATTTAATAACAGCAAGTAACTTTTGAAAAAAATGATTTTCAAATTCGTGAATTCACATAAATTTCCCATGTCACAATGCTTATGTTATTACAACACAGTCAGAATCCATTGTTCGATGACATTGTTTACATGTACGCTGATTGACGTTGTGGTCAACTGGTGTAACTCATTTATTAAAAACAACTCTAGATTGGTGTATACCCCCTGCATCATTATTTAGATTTAAAGTAAATCTAATGATGATGAATTTACATTATGATAAACATAACTTATTTTTTAGCTTCTAAATTTTATTTTACAGTAAATGTGTAAATAAAAATGGGAGTCCAAGGTTTATGGCAGTTACTAAACCCAACAGGTCGTCCAGTATCATTACAATCACTAGAGGGTAAAATACTTGCAGTGGGTATCCTTTTTTAAAATCAGTATGTTGTTGGATTGTATGGTCAAAACAATGTGGATGTTTTTAGATAAGTTTGAAATGTTATATTAAAATTATAGCATGCAAATAACTCAAACTTACATTTACATAACCTTACAAAGCCTATGAGAAGTGAGAACAAATACTAGTAAATAAAACTTTCAGGCAAGCTACACTTCTGACAGTAAAAATCTGTGGGCTGTCAAGGAAAGGGTGCTGAAATTGTTTTAAATTTATACACCAATGAGTAATATGTCTTGCAGTTAACTCAACAGTAAAACAGAAAACCCATAAGCATTGATAAAAACATTATGAAGTCCACACACAGTGAGAGACCTGTTTCCATATCACACATGTATACCAAGCTCTAAATCACCATACTTCTAGACATGTAGAATAAAGTGAACATGTACAGGTACTAAGATTTGCTGTCAACATCAAATGGACACAATCCAAAGATATAAACACCAATCACATGATTTCTGGTTTGGAACAGACACATTACTTTGTTGGAGTTATACACAATAAAATTTATCACAAGAAAGCACTTCTCTTTGTGTATAGGTACAATGTATTATAGACATCAGAAACACAGGAACAAGTGAAGCACTTTGATTTAAAATAATTCAGGAAAATTCTCAGTTACTGAAAACTAGCTCACTGTGCTTACATTATTGATAAAAATAGTGATGCCACCTTACACTTTAATGTTAACCACTATACCTCCAAGTACTCAGTAGATTTCTCACAATAATCTCTAATGAAGTGCAGAAAAACTTTGATTTTTAGATCAGTTTTCTATTTCAGATAAATTGTGTAAAAATGTTAAATATTTAGAAAAAGATCAATATCAACTACAGCAGTACAAAAGAAAATGTAGTTGTTGAGTAAGAACAATTGTTTCATAATTAATTGCCTTCTGGCTTAAGGATTGTATTGTCATAACATTCAATTTATAGTTAGTACCATGATTTGGAAATAAAAAAAGATGTATCTTATATAAATTACAGCTATCTTCTTAATGAACTAATAAGTTATATTTTTGATATATTTCCTTAATCATACACCTAGATGTAAGTATATGGTTACACCAGGCAGTGAAGGGTATGAGGGATAGAGATGGCAATCCTCTACCTAACGCTCATCTACAGGTCCTGTTTAACAGACTATGTAAACTCCTATACTATAGAATCAAACCAGTCTTTGTATTTGATGGAGGTGTTCCTGTTCTCAAGAAACAAACAATGGCAAGTAAAAATAAAGAGAGTATCATCAATTAAATTCTTAGAGAATTGTATAAGTTTTAATTTTTAAAAGGAATAAGTAATAGTCAAGTTTTTTACATAGGAAATAATTTACATGTTATACATTTTCAGTTTTGAAAATTTACAAAAATGGTTATATGGTCTGGACTTGACCAAATGAAATGGATATATGGTCTAGACTTGACCAAATGAAATTGTTATTAGAAGTTGTAGATTTATAGTAATAAATGTTAAACCTGTGCACAGAGGACTGAGTTTAGTGTATATGCATGCATTTATTGATCAATAATTTCCAGCATAAAAATTCATTTCATATGACTTTAAGCTCTAAATCACCTTCCGTTTAGACAAATTAAAAATTGATTTAACAAATACTTCCAATGATCAAACATCAGCACCAAATTCTTTGCAGGATAAAAACACTAGTCTATCATTTCAACAGAGAGAACAAAATGATGATATGATATCTGACATCCCATTGTTTAATAGTAGCAATAATTCTTCAATAATGTTAGTTGGTAATTTTGCATCATGCTGAATGAGAAACATCTACATCGTTCAAATAAGATGAATACTGCAAGTAACTGAGATGTTAACATGGTAGTGGAAACAGTATAAATTTACATGTTTTTGTTATTTATAGTCTGGTAGAAGAGAAAAGAAAGAATTTGCAGAACTAGAAAGTGATAAAGCAACAAAAAATCTTGTGCAAAATTTAATGAAAAGCCATGCCATCAATGCAGTGTTGAAAAAAGATGACAGCAGTAAACTCAGCACATCTGGACCAAAACCTTCTACCTCAAATCAAGGAAAACCAGACTTGTTTGAGTTACCTCCCTTACCGGAAGAATTTAAAAGGTAATAACCGCATTCATGAGCATTAATAAACCATTTGAATTACTGAGTTGATTAAGAGAAATATTGAATTCAATATGCAGCTTAATAAACCTTTTTATATGATCCAGCTATGTCTATTTAAAGTAACATGATAAATATACACTTATCCAGGCACATGTGAATATTATGCTCCATATATGTTGTATATATTAACCTAGTAAATATCTTTTTTTATTGCATCACAATATATAGGATTAATATCTCATATTGCACTAGTGTGAACAAGGCTTCAATTACATGTTGACATCGGTGACAAAAATATGTTCAAACAGATTTTCAAGCTTACCTATACAATTACAGGGTTAAAGCATGAATATTGGTCACTATTATCCCTCATGGAATATATATTGCATTCAGAAGCTCTTGCAAAATATAAATCTACTCTGAACAATATTCATGCAATACCCCTATAATGTTGCAATTATAGCTGAGATTCAGAGAAAACCTCAATAAGCTGTCTTAAAATGGTAGGTTTTTTAAAACTAAAAAAAATATTTTTTTTGTTGCAGTATCAGTGATGAAAGCAGGAGAACAGAATTTTCAGCTCAAGAAAGATTGTTACTGGTAATGTTTATATGTGAATAAAAAAAAAATATGAATAATATGTGACTTAAGTGTAAAAGATATAAATGGCACAGCCTGATTAAAAAATGGAATTAAGAATAAACCCTAGTTCTCTTTTAGAGTAATCAGTTAAGTCATCACAATTTTTAACGTGGATTCATTATTATTAATTGTAAACCAATTATCAAGGATATCGTGGGTATAGGTAAACCACATATTTAAATGTTCAACAAATTACAAATTTACTTTTGCCAAATATGCAGACTTTAGCAAAACCACAAAATCAAATATCCATAAAAATACAATTTTGCCCCACCACGAAAATTGGTATCCACAAATGTTGATGTATCCACAGTATGTCATCTAGTATTTTATGTCATACATTTAAGGGTTTTAAAATTGTTATGTCATCTAATATTTTATTTTTTTAGTTGAAAAATAGCCTTTACAGACAACTTAAATGACCTTTCCTCAGTTTACTGCAGACACTACTGCATGTTAAGAGTCAAGGTTATGAGAAAACTGAAACATTATCATTGACATATAGTTAACTAAGACTGCTTAGCTCTTATCCTTCACTTGTGTAATAAAAGAGAGACGAAAAATAAGAGGGAAAATAAATGCAAACAATTAAGATTGTACCCGGTATGTAAATCTTTCATATTCTTTTGAATTTTTGTTAAGTAAAATAAGGTAAACCAAATTTTAATTTGATTCAATAGAAAAATGTTCAAAACATGAACTTATATTTGATACTATTATAGTTTGTCACAAAAAAAGAAAGAAAAAACCTATGGATTTTCTATACTTTTGTGAAGATATGATAAATTGCATGTCTTTGCAGGATGAGGTTGATTTAGACCAAATTGACATAGAATCAGATGTGTTTAACAGTCTGCCATCAGAAATGAAACATGAAGTTCTCACTTTGTTAAAAGAAAAAAAGAAACGACATACATGGAATCAGATACTAGAACTTCCTCAGGTAATTACAAGGTTTCTACATATTTAAAATATTTTTGGTTTTTGTGTGAAATTAACATTTGCATAAATACACAGCAAATATAGATTCTAATCCAGTCAGAAACACTGTCTGAGTATATACATCAAATGTTACCCATGAAAGTGTAAATGTAACACATTAATAATTTAGAAAAGACATTCAAAAGTTGGAAATAATTGATTTTTAGGTTAACTGTATCTGGACAGAATCATATTAAGATATCAAAGAGACTGCAATTGTCAGTGATACTTACCAATAGCAATTGACTGAAGCAAAACTGTTTACACAATGTAATATAACATTTAAAATGTGTTGATATCACCAGTACAATATAACAAGATGTGGTATGATTGCCAATGACAACTATCTTCTAATATTATTGGTACATTGTAAAGATAAGGAGACGTGATATGATTGTTAATGAGACAACTATCCAAAAAGGACAAAGATGTAAAAAATTAGAGGTTACCATACAGCTTTTTTTTTCATAACTGTTAGACTGAAGGTTTGGAAGATCACCAATCACTGAATTGATATCTTTAAAATCAATTATTATACCCCCGCTTTAAAAAAGGGGAGTATACTGTTTTACCTCTGTCTGTCCTTCCGTCAGTCCATCCGTCCGTCCCATGAATATTTCGTCTCATTTTTCTCAGGAAATACTTGACAAGGATTTCTGAAATTTGGTTTCAGGGTTTATATATAATAAGTTACACCCTGTGATGCGTTTTCAGATTCATCACTCAACAACTTCCTGTTTACCGAACACTTGTATTATTTTACACATGATAGCCAAGTTGAAAATTTTCGTCACATTTTTCTCAGGAACTACTTGACAAGGATTTCTGAAATTTGGTTTCAGGATTTATATAAGTAAGTTACACCGTGTGATGCGTTTTCAGATTCATCACTCAACAACTTCCTGTTTACCGAACACTTGTATAATTTTACACATGATAGCCAAGTTGAAAATTTTAGTCACATTTTTCTCAAGAACTACTTGACAAGGATTTCTGCAATTTGGTTTCAGGGTTTATATAAGTACGTTTCACCGTGTGATGCGTTTTCAGATTCATCACTCAACAACTTCCTGTTTACTGAACACTTGTATTATTTTACACATGCTAGCCAAGTTGAAAATTTTCGTCACATTTTTCTCAGGAACTACTTGACAAGGATTTCTGAAATTTGGTTTCAGGGTTTATATAAGTCAGCTATACCGTGTGATGCGTTTTCAGATTCATCACTCAACAACTTCCTGTTTACCGAAATATTTCGGCAGGGGTATCATCAGTGAGCAGTAGCTCACATTTTTACTTGTTTTAACTATTTCATCAACTGATAATGCACACTGTTTTGAATCTTAGTTATATATCGCAATTTTCAGAATAAAAGAAAAAAAATCCAAACAAATCTAAGATATGACTCATATTAACCAATAATATTAAATAAAGTTTATATGAAAATGCACATCATATTTAGAGGTTTATTTTTGTATACATTAAGGAATCTAATGACTTCTCCAAGTTTCAAATGGCAAAGTTGATGAAACAGAATAAGCTGTCCTCTCGATTGGCTGATGTTACAAAGGAAATGAATGACACTAGATCAGTAGACTTAACTCGTTTCCTTGGTGATGATTTTTATAGTGATGCTATAGAAACCAGAAAAATAATGTCAGACGACACTGCACACTCTATATTGATCAAGGGACTTGGAAGTAAGGAACAGAAAGAAGAAATGGAAAGAATAAGAATGGAATTGGAAGAAAAGAAGAAAGAAGAAAACTCTGATGAGAAAGTTGGAGATAAATTGGAAGAAAATAAACAGAATATTTCAGATAGAATAGATGAAATCATTGAAATTGAAGAAAGTCAGCATGATTTAAATGAAATATGTAATAATTATAAGGCAAATGAAGTAATTGAAGATAATAAGACTGTTATTAATAAAGATACTGCTAGCAAAATAAATTGTGCAACAGATGTAAATACTGAAAGACAGGATATTTTAAAAGAACTTAAGCAACGTATGAATGCTTTAAAGGACAAAAGTTCAGATGACGATTCTTTGCCTTTATTTGATACAAACTTAGTTGAAAGGAATGACCAGAAAAATCAACTTCATGTAGGAGGCAAGAGGGCAAACTTGGTTGACGAAAGTGTTGAAGTAATTGATGATGTCGAAGTTAAAGCAAAGAGTGAAAGTGTAGAAAATGCTTACGTTGAAACCACTGCAATTGTCAACGATCAAGAAACGATACTGTTGAAGCAAAAAGATGGCATTTTATCAGAAAACCATCAGTCAAAAAATTCATCAGCTAAAACTGTGGAGAAGACTGAAAATATGTCATCTGTCTCGCCAGAAAAGTCTGAAAATATGACATCTGTCTTGCCAGAAAAGTCTGAAAATATGTCATCTGTCTCGCCAGAAAAGTCTGAAAAAGATTTGAAGTCAACTCGACAAAGTATTTTAGATGAACTTCGTCAAAAAGTTACTGTTCTGAGTTCTGACAGTACTATTGAAAATAATGAGGAAGACAATATGGAAATCGATAATGAAAAGAAAGAGTCTGAAATGAAACAAGTTATTTCAGAAAACAGGAAATGTTTATTAAAGAAACAGTTATCTCTAGATGAGGAACAGGAAGTTAAGAGAAGAAAATTGAATCAAGACACTCCTGCAGAAGAAGCCACAGAGTCAAATAAATATCCACCAGAGAATAATAGTGAAAGTGATTCTGAAGGTAGGAAAACAAGATACTGTAAAGTCATAAAGTTTTGCAATGTTTTTATTATTGCAAAAATTGTGAGAGGATAGATTTCAAAATAATTAAAAAATTGTGTTTTAAATCTTAAATATCATTATTACTATGAAGCATTTCCTGAAATCGCAATAATAATTCTCACATTTTTGTCCAATGTTCAACAAACTTAAAGATAAATGCACACAAACATTTCGGAATTTAAAGTAGACATAATGGCATCAGATACACTGACTTGTCCTTTAAAAGGTGTAACCTTGCCGTGAACCATTACCAAATCAGCAAATAAATGTAATCTAACTGTACTTATGTTGTAATTTTTAGCTCGGTTTCGACTCCCTTTCCAAATTAATTACCCAAATTAACTGATCTGTTACAAGGAATCAACATTTACTAAAATAAGACTACAATTTCAGTTTGCCTGAATTCAGATTTATGTTTCTGAGAAGATTTATTCAGTATTTACAGGAGTTACGTACATCTTAATCTTGACAATGTGCTGGGTTTTTTTTCAGCCTTCATTGTATGTTTTTAGATTAACCTTCATCAGTAACACTCAGAACCAAATGTTAAGTCAGCCCTATTTTTAGCAAAAATGTGAACTTTGCCTCATTGAGTTGCAGTCCTAATTTCTTTAAAATTGATTAAATGATCAAATGTGAATTCATATAAATGTCACATATTTATGTCCAGTGCTGAAACATTGACTACTATGGTGATAATACCCTCTGGGATTTAAAGTGCACCTGCTATGGTAGAAATTCAGTGATACATGTAGTATATATATCACAGTTATACATACTGCTTTTCCTGCATTTTATGCATTACTTATATATATTTATTAGCATCTTCGTTCACTGAAAATATGGGCAAAAATTCATCCCTCCTAATCTACTCAGTAAAATAAACTCATTTTACATGATATTGGTAGTCTTTACATATTGCATTGCTTGAATTCACAACATCTTATAGTACCATTTACCTAAACATGATAGTACAATCTGTTTATTTTCAGACGAAGGGTTCATTGAAGTAGTACTTGACATAGATAAAGCCCAACAAGATGACCTATTTCCTGCAGACATATTCCAACCTGCTCAGAAAGTGGAAGAAAACATTGAAATTGTCTCTGATGAAGAACCAGTCTATGAAAAATACCATGAGGATGCTGACTCCTCCCCTGATGCACAGGAAGTAACTGAAGACTTACAGGAAGTGATGTCAGAAGAAGAAAATTCAAAAGAAATAACATCAAATTACAGTATTGATGAGATAGAGGAGAATATACATGGAGACTTAGTACAACAGTTCAAAAATTTTACTGAGGTTTGACATTTAAACTAACACCAATATGTCACTCTTGTAACCTTCGAAACAGGACATAGTCCTCTTTAATATTTTCGTGATGCATATGGTAATCAAATATTTTAAATTTATGGGAAATTGTTTGCCAAATACAACATGACAGCCTCCTTCAACAGGGTAATGCTTAAGTGTGAATGTTATAAAAAAAGTTAACAGTTTTGTATGTACAAATTTATTGATTGTTCTTTTTTTATGATTTTCTTACGGTTTATTAAACAGTTATGGTTTATACTTATTTCAAACTAAGGGAGGTAAAATTTAATACAGTTGTAGTGGACAAATGTATCTCTTTCTTGTCCTATATAATTTACCATAAGTCTTTATGCTGTTTGTTTCAACTTTTAATTAAGTAATTTTATTTGACTTTAGGATGATATGAGAGGTTATCAAGAGAATTTAGAGGCAGAAAGTCGAGATCTTCAGCAGGAAAGGGGAAAACAAGAAAGACTGGCTGTATCAATCACAGATCAAATGTACACAGAAGCTCAGGTAATTCGTTGTTTCTGAAAATTATTGAAACAACAATCAACAGTTATTCATGTAGAAATTTAAGAAACGTTATATACATTAAAATAATACACAGATTTTTCTAATTCAAATATTTGAAAAGGCAGTTTCATAAATATAATTTATAAATTTATCTCAGAACTAATTATAATAGAAAAAAAAAATGTCATATTAAATATAAATGATATAAAAATTTCTCTAAATTTAAGTTTTCTAAAGAAAAATTGACTGATGCATATTGTTATATCTCCACTCACGGAATGTATAGGATACTACAATGCCCTTGTCCATTCATCTGTTTGTTTGTGCATCAGTTCATCCTTCAAATACTTTTGTTGCATATTTCTCAGCCTGTATATGTTGGAATGATTTGATATTTTGTCTTGAACTTTATAATATTGAGGTGTAAGTGATATTCAAATCTGTCAGGCAATCACTTCCTGTTTGACAATACTTCAAATTCTTGTTATGTCCAATGACTTTTTGTTACACATAACACAGCTTGATTATTAAAGAAAGGTTAGATATTTGATGTGTGACTTGTACTGTGAAAGCATTGCCTGTTTGACAGTACCTTTCATTTTTACTATACTCACATAGCAAATATTATTTGTCAATGTCTTATAACAAGTAAGGGTATACTTTGCACAACATAGCTTGCAAGTTCTTGATGATATATGCACAAGTGTGTTTCTTCCAATAAAGATAATTCGATAGTGGATGTTCAGAATAATAATAGGCGGTAGACACATACAAGGAAAAAAAGCACAATAAATGAGGCAAATCAACTTTAGCCTTTTTGCCAGATTTTCTAATGTCCAAATACTATCATTCAGGATTGTAATCGAAGGACCAAAATGGGTTAATTTCTTGTAAGAAATAAGACCTTATAATCACACTGATAAATCACTACTACAAAATTTTTTATGCCATGTCTACCATGATAAGGGCCATTATGTTTTCTGGTATGTGTTCGTTTTTGTTAAAGCTTTTGGTAATGGAAGTTAGCCATTCAGTTGTAGTCACATCTACTTGAAACTAGTACACATAATCATGATGATATATAAACTTTTTTTTGCAATTTTATACCAAATAATAGTTTTGACCCTGTTTTTATAGTTCACTGAACATGGAAAGGTAATAGTGTGAAATAAATTCATGCTCAGGTTAAAGTTTTTGGTTAATAAGTTAACTGTTGAGTTGTGGTCACAAAATTTTGAAACTTAGTAAACATGTTTATTGTAAGGTGAAATTTAAAATCACATGCCAAACTATTATTTTGACCCTGATTTCATGGTTCAGTGAACATGGACATATGAAAGTGTAAGCAGGGCATGGTCTCCGATGGACACATATTCTTGTTTAACATAGAAATTTGATAAAAGAGTATATTTTGTAAATACATCTGTAACTATTAATCATACTTTATACAGGAGTTGTTAGAGTTGTTTGGTGTACCGTATATTGTGAGTCCAATGGAGGCTGAAGCTCAATGCGCCCAGTTAGATGTATCCGACCTGACACACGGCTCAATAACAGATGATAGTGATGTCTGGTTGTTTGGTGGAAAACGAGTTTACAAAAATTTCTTCCAACAAGACAAACATGTAGAATTCTTTTCTGAAATAAGTATCCAATCACAGTTAGGTAAAAATATGTGAATTTAATCTTCAAGTGAACTACACATACCAAAAAGTTTTCATAATTCAACAAAAACAGAAAAAAAGAAGATTTAAGTTATTAAAGTGTTACAGAAAATAAATTCCTTCAATGGTTCATTACATTTTTACCTGATACAGAATGTATATGTTTATTTTTATGTTTTTATTTATGATGTACAAGAGGTAAACATTTAAAAAAATGTATTTTTTATATTTCTCAGTTTAAATTATCAAATATAAGTTTGTAAATCACAATGTGTATAACATTGTATTTATCACAAAAATAAAACAATGTCTTTACATTAATAATCCTTGACTGATTATTGTTTAAGGTATTGGAAGAGATGTTCTGATAAAACTGGCCCTTTTATGTGGTAGTGACTACACACAAGGAATTCAGGGTGTAGGGCCAATCACTGCTATGGAGGTACTAACAGAATTCCCTGGAGAAAGCTTAGAAGGATTAAGAGAATTTAAGTGAGTTGAATGTGAAATTTTGTAAAACTTTTTAATGTACCTGTTTACTTGTTATTTTTAATATAATCAAAGAAAAAATCTAGGACATTAATTTACTTTTTGGAGATGTTTAATTGCTTTATGTATAACACCATGGTGGTCAGTTTAGTCATGCTTTTATTGATTTCTGAATGTCAAGGAAAGGATTCTAAGAACTAAGACTGGAAAACAAATACTGTCATGTGTGACAAAAGTGAATGACATACCTCTCGATTCATTTGAAAAGTTATGTTCCACATCAAATCAATAACATAGTAATTATGTACTGATGTTTAACTTCATTTGAATATGTCTTAATTCACTTGACGGAGTCAAAAAGCGAGACATAGGTATGCTGTTTCCGTTGTCGGCGGCGTCAACAATGTATTAGTTTGTGATTAGGTCTAGTGTATGGTGAACCACTAGTGGTAGGTCAATTATATTTGGTATGCAGTTGTATAAGCACTGGCATATCTCATTTCCATGGAGATTAATTGGCTCCGCCCCCTCAGTCATGGTCTATTGACTTTGAAACTTTTGCTTAGTTTACATGTATTAGTTTGTGATTAGGTCAGTTCAAGGGGAACCATTAGTGGTAGGCCAATGTTAATTGGTATGAAGTTGTATAAGCATTAGCGCATCTCATTTCCTTGGAAAATATTTGGCCCTGCCCCTTCAGTCATGGTCTATTGACTTTGAAACTTTTGCTTAGTTTACATGTATTAGTTTGTGATTAGATCAGTTTAAGATGAACCGCTAATGTTAAGTCAATGATATTTGGTTTGCAAATTTATTGGCAATTGCAAGTCTTATTCTCGTGGATAATATATAGCCCCACCCCCTTATCATGGTTCATTGACTTTGAAACTTTTACATAGTTTACAAGTTAAAGTTTTTTGTTTAGGTTTGTTTAAAGGGAATGACTTATGATAATTAAGTCAATGGTATTTGGTATGCATTGGCGCTTCTCATTTCCATGGAGATTGTTTAGCCATGTACCTTCAGTCATGGTTCATTGACTTTGAATATTTGCATAACTTACATGTTAAAGTATTGCTATTTTAATTTCAACATTTGCATTATCAAAATTACAAAAAGGCGAGAAATATCTCTGTGTTAACAGTTTATTGATGATGAAATTAATTCAATTGACAGTTATTAAAAAGCTCAACTTTTTAAGTATAATTTTCTGTTACTGGGAGATTGACAAATTACCTGAGGATTAGAGCAAATAATGAAAACAGATTGTGTACCTTCTGACAGGACAATCACATGTATTGTCTAATAAAAATATCTTCTATACTTTATTGAAGGAAGTGGTGGAATGAAGCTCAGAATCAGATAACAGCTCCTTTAGAACCCAAAATCAAGACGAAATTGAGAAAATTAGAGGTCCCAGAAGGTATGTTTAATCATTATATATATTAAAGGGCAGACTGCTGTATGTTTTATATATAGAAATACCAGAGAAAAGGAAAAACAGAGATGTAGTTAAAACTTAATTGTGAAAAATTGTCATTATTAGTTGGTAGTTTGTAAAGATAAATAACTATCATGCTTCAAGAAGACTATATGTTGACCTCAAGATGTATTTTGGTACAAATGTATTTTGTGTGTTGGGTTGTTGTCTCATTGATGTATTACCCACATCTCCTTTTTGTTGAGCCTTCGACTTTTGTCGAAAAAGCGAGACATAGCGATCCTACATTCCGTCGTCGTCGTTGGCGGCGTCCACAAATATTCACTCTGTGGTTAAAGTTTTTGAAATTTTAATAACTTTCTTAAACTATCATGGATTTCTACCAAACTTGGACAGAAGCTTGTTTATGATCATAAGATAATATTCAAAAGTAAATTTTGTAAAAAAAAAATTCCATTTTTCTCGTATATTACTTATAAATGGACTTAGTTTTTCTGCCAGGAAACATTACATTCACTCTAGATCTGTGGTTAAAGTTTTTGAAATTTTAATAACTTTCTTAAACTATCCTGGATTTCTACCAAACTTGGAAAGAAGCTTGTTTATGATCATAAGATAGTATCCAGAAGTAAATTTTGTAAAAAAAAAATTACATCTTTTCCGTATTTTACTTATAAATGGACTTAGTTTTTCTGCCAGGAAACATTACATTCACTCTGTGGTTAAAGTTTTTAAAATTTTAACAACTTTCTTAAACTATCTTGGATTTGTACCAAACTTGGACAGGAGATTGTTTATGATTAAAAGCTAGTATCTAGAAGGAAATTTTGTTAAAATTTTGTTCCATTTTTTCCGTATTTTACTTATAAATGGACTTACTTTTTCTTGCAGTTAACATTACATACAGTCTGCAGTTTAAGTTTTTAAAACATTTATTAGATTCATAAACTATCCTGGATTTTTACCAAACTTGGACAGAAGCTACTTACAATCAAAAGATAGTATAGAGAGGAATATTTTATTATTTTTTTTTCCTCATTTTTGTTGAGCCTGCGATTAACAGCAAAAGTAGGCGAGACACTGGGTTCCGTGGAACCCTACAAATTTTATTGATATGAATTACTTTTTCGGATATTTTAGTTGATTTCTTGGAAATTTAAAATAAAAAAACTTTCCAGTGCAGAGAGATAATTTCATTCCTTTTTGTTGGTTATCTGTTGGTTCATGGACATTATAGCAATTAAACTGAAGCTTAAGTACAAGCAAATTATTGTGCACTCCTGTAACTATTTATGCAGTAAAGGTTCATGGTTGATGAATTTTTAGTTACCAAATATGCATACAAAAAAAAATGACCGGAGGCCTTGATTTCATTAAAATTTTGAAATAACAGTTGTAATGAAGAAACTTTTCTTTTAAAATTCCCCCACAATAAATTGGGAACCAACCTTGTTATTAAATCCTGGAGGTTTTGTTTTATAAACTTTATTGCTAAATAAAATCATCATATTGAAGGCTTACCTGCTATACACAGTGTTCTCCCCAGGCCCTTAAAGGACCGCGGGCCCGCGATGTATAATTTTTCACCGTGGTGGTATCGTTCTTACCGCGATGTATAAATTTTCTCCGTGGTGCTAAAATTTTCAGTTAAAAAATCGTAAATCGGTAAAGTTTTAAAAGATTTGTTAAATCTTTTCCGTGCGGTATAAAATTCCAGGTGAAATTTGACCAGTTCAAACCAGTTCAACACATATTGTTTACACCACGTGATTGATTTACCTTTATGAGGTTAACCTTTGTTGATTGGATTTAACCGATGTAATTAACACTTTTTACATGATTCTTTTGTGTTTTAATTTAGAGATCATAACTTTATGATCAAAGATAACTATTTTAAGGCTTCACTCACCACCTGACAAGTCGGCAAATACTTTGTACACAAACCGTGTTGACCCGATAGTTGTACACACGGCGGTACATATTTTTTACATTATAAAGTTAGCTCAATACTTATTATATAGTTTTATATGTCTCTGATTAAACCATGGCCAAATTTATCTTTAATTGTGACATAGTTATTGCATGCTATTCCGGTTTCAAACTGTCAACAAGTAATTCAAAGGAGAAGGATCACATGACCCAGTTAGTTCACGTAGAATATTCAAGATTATTTACAATTAACTGCAATCTATTCTATTTTATAAATAAAATGCACGACTGTACCTTAAAACTGGATATATATATCCATATGATCATTAATGAATAACAGAAGTGATCTTGCAATTTTAATCCATAAGCACATGTTAAATCTATTTATATCTACTTCCTGTCATTTAGGCGGGAAAATAGGGAGACTTTGTTGTTGACATTGAATATGTTACTTATAGATCTATAGACCCAAGATAAATTTATAGATTTAGCAATTCTTTTGAAATGGATCATGACAAATAAAGATTTGGATTTCAGTGCAGTATTAAGTCTGTATCTATGTTTGATTATCACCAAAGACAAGAAAGGCTAATATTTACATGTTCATGAAATCTATGGCAAAATGTTTTAAAATTTATGAAAAATTTCTTTTTATTAAAATTTAAGATAGAAACTGGTTCAGATTATTACACAATTTTGTTTCTTGTTAATTTTATATCTCCTTATGACAGGAATCCTTTCACATACAACAACTTTCTTTCTAGAAACTAGAAAGGTTTTTTAAATTGAACATTTTTGTTCTCTTTTGAATCTGGGAACAGTATATCTAACAATATATATGTTCCTGTTTGAATGATATTTTATTTTTATTGATCATGGATTTTATAAAAGATTTAATTACTTTAAATTTAGATGAATATTATGTAATGAATCATGTTTTATTTATTTAAAAAAAATGTTAAAAGTATACAAACTGTTTATTGATCTTTTTAACCAATAATATTCTGACATAACACAGTACCACAGTATTAAAACTAAACAAGAGACATAAAAACTGCAGTAACTAGAAATATAGCGACGCCACACGACACAACTGATTGTATGAATCATTTCACCAAGCTGTTCACACGCGTTACCCTGGTGCTATCCAAAAATCCTGGGGAGAACACTGCTATACATGACAACATTATTCAATAGATGATTTCATCCGCTTTCATATCTTGTCTGTATTCCATTGCAGCTGTTTTCAAATTCATGGAATTGAATTGCAGTGTTTTGTGAATTTTTTGACACCAATATTGATTTTGTTACGCCCCACCTACGATAGTAGAGGGGCATTATGTTTTTCGATCTGTGCATCTGTTCGTTCGTTCGTTCGTCCGTCCGTTCATCCGTCTGTCCCGCTTCAGGTTTAAGTTTTTGGTCAAGGTAGTTTTTGATGAAGTTGAAGTCCAATCTACTTGAAACTTAGTACACATGTTCCCTATGATATGATCTTTCTAATTTTAATGCCAAATTAGAGTTTTGATCCCAATTTCACGGTCCACTGAACATAGGAAATGATAGTGCGTGTGGGGCATCTGTGTACTATTGACACATTCTTGTTATCAGTAAATTAAAACCATACTAAATATTACACATATGTACTTTCACGGTACTACGATCTGTTGATACCTATAGTTTGGCATTGCACAAGGTCATGTTTTTCTCTGACTGTTAATGACGTCTTTACACTAAATCCATTGGATGTTGGATGTGTATATACGTACTGATTGATATTTTAGTCTTAGATACATGATTGTTTTCATTGGTTGTTATTGGCTTTGAACAAGCTGTCAGTAACTGCGAGTACTCTCAGATCTGTACTTAGTGTATTTTTGTTTTTGGGATATATAAGTACCCGTCCACGTCCACTCTGTGTTTTTGTTAGATGTATTTCTATTTGTATCCATCTGATGAGTTAAGCCTTTTTCAACTGATTTTTATAGTTTATTCTTATGTTGTACTGTTACACCACTGTCCCAGGTTAGGGGAAGGGTTGAGCGCTCACAAACATGTTTAAACCCGCCACATTCTTCATGTGCCTGTCCCAAGTCAGGAGCCTGTAGTTCAGTGGTGGTCGTTGGTTCATGTCTGCCATATTTGTTTTTTGTAAATTGTTTTGTTATAAATTAGGCCTTTAGTTTTCTAAATTGAATTGTTCATATTTTTCATGTCGGGGCCTTTTATAGCCGACCATATGGTATGGGTTTTTCTTATTGTTGAAGGCCGTACAGTTGCCTTTAATTGCTTACATCCACTTCATTTGAACTTTGGTGGATAGTTGTCTCATTGGCAATCATGCCACATCTCCTTATTTTTATAAAGTTAAAAAAAAACAATGTAGGTAATTTTGGATATGGTATTGTTATCTGCAAGGACCAGTAATGTCACTTGTGAATCTAGTTCCTAAATTATAGAAATTTACTATCAATTATAAAATTGTTGTCATATTTTTCTGTTTTTGAGTCGGACAGAGATCGAGGTTTGTCAAATGAACCAACAATATAGTCATTCCATTCATAAATTCTAAATCTCTTATGACTTTTGCTCAATGTGAACTGATCTCAAATTTATGTCACCTGAAATCAACGAGTTACACTGCATTGAAGGGCATCATAGAAGCTGATTCTACAATAGATAATATTTTTTTATTCCTTTGAAGCAAATTTTATGTCTAAAGTAAGCTTTGCTATAACTTTATATGAAAACAGTCAGTTTTCTAAATTCAAGGGTGTCATAAAGTGATGACGTCATGTCCCAACACGCGTATCTTCCTATGACGTGGTAAAAGAACAAAAGAATCAAGATTTCCAAGTCTTGCTTGGATCAAACAAAACCAAGTTTTTAAAAGTAAAATAAGAATAGCTTTTTGAAGATAATAGCAGTATGCTGTATTTACACAACACATTCATTATTGCATACAATGCAAGGTGACGGTAACTGGTCCTCGACCAGTATGAGTCTAGGTCAAAATTATACATTTTCATATAATTCTTTAAAGGATTGGAATGCATAGTCTTATGGATGAAACAAGATATTGAACAATATTATAGAATTAAGTGATGAGTTATTTTAAATCAATTGAATTCTTTCATATAAACAGTGTGCAAGAAATATACAGAATTATATACCAAAAACATGCTTATCTCCTGTTTTCTATTCCTAGGTTTTCCTAATGAACTTGTAGTAACAGCCTACATGAAGCCTGAAGTAGATGATTCAGATGAGAAGTTTGCCTGGGGACAACCAGAACTAGATCTTATTAGATTGTATCCTTAAAAATAACTTTAAATAAACATTGGACAACAAACAAAAAAGATGATCAAGGAAAAAAAGACTACAGTGTATATGATTTTTTATAATACTTGTATAACAACCTTTTTATGTCATTGTGGTGCATAAATGTTAAAATTTAGTCCAGATTATTACTATGTTAAATTCCTTATAGTTTGAATACAGATTTACAAAAACAAAGTTTGGCTGGAGTCAGGAAAAATGTGATGAAACTCTGGTTCCAATGATGAAACAGTTTAATTTGAGACAAGTATGAGATATATATTATGTTAAATGTGTGTTAAAACTCTAACTTTTATGAAAAAAGCAACTAAAGTATGTCAAAGTAACATGTATTGTTATGTTTGAATACTATAAAATGATTAAAATACATTTGCCAAAAACATTGTTTTCTCTCCAATGGAGCTTGTATTTTCAGAAAAGAGTATTTCTACATGCTATTATTTCAATTGCAAAGTATTTTTTACAGCCTTTCATGTTCATCTTACTCTATAATGAAATCTGTATTCTTTTATAGACACAGACAAGAATAAACACATTCTTTCAACCAGAACATTTTATCCAGCCAAAAAACATTAAAAGTAAAAGACTGCAAAGGGCTCTTGATATCATGCAAGGCAAAGTCAATGATGAACCAGTCCAATCTTCTGGTAGCCTAATAAAACAGTCAGTAAGTTCTCCAGTTATGCCAGGTATGCAACAAGTGAGGACGATGGCAAGACAAATCACTGTTGGAAAAGGTCGGGGCAGAGGTAAAGGGAAGGGAAAAGGTAAAAGTTCAATGGGTCAAAAGAAGACAAGAGCAACAATAAAAAATGAAGTAAATTTGTCAGAGAGCAGTAGTGAATCAAGTGGTGATGAATTAATTGCTAGTCTGGATTATGAAAGTATGATGGGAGAAAGTAGGGAACAGTCTAATACTGAACTAGGATCCAGTAGTCAGATCATGACTGGTACAAATGTGAGAAATATGAAAAATAATTCCAGGGAAACAGCTAAGAAATCAGTGAGAAGTAAATCATCATCTACAAACAACAAAAAGTCTGCAGTTGTTACAACTGCTATTTCTCAATCAACCTCTGTTAATACTGCAGCAAGTGATAACAATAGTGCTTTAGGATCTGGTTCTCAGAGTAGCTCTACTGCTGATCAGGGTACCAGCAAAAGTCGAAGGACTAAGCCAAATATAACAGTGGGTAAAGCAGGTCATGCCACTGAGGATTTTTCTTTAGATTTACCAAAGGAACCTATAGCTATGAAAGGTTTCTTGGAGGATGAAGTTCATGCCTTTGATAAAAAGAAAAAACTGAAATCAAAGACAGTAAAAAATAAAAAAGAAGAACTAAAACCGCAAAAGTCTGAGAAATCAAAACCAGATAAGACAATAGAAGTGAAAAAGATTGACAAAGGAAAATCATTAGTTAAAAATGGGAAAAGTAGAGTTAAATCATCAAAATTCAACAGACAAGAAATTTCAAAATCTGATGTTAACATGTTTGAAAATGATAAAAATTCTCAGGCAGCTGTTACAGTTAATGACCCGGATGATTCAGCAAACGTGTCTTTTAATTTGTTAAACAGAAGAACGCGAAGTTGTCGAGCAGGGACAGTAAATAGAGTGATGGTTGTATCAGATTCAGATAGCAATTAAGGTTATTAAAGCAGGGACAGTAAATAGAGTGATGGTTGTATCAGATTCAGATAGCAATTAAGATTATTGTAGGATTTGTAGAACAGAGACAGTAAATAGAGTGATGGTTGTATCAGATTCAGATAGCATACAATTAAGATTATTGTAGAAGAATAAGTTAGATATTTTCTGAAGGTTGTTGCTTCAGTCTACTGAAGGAAGTCTTATGTTTATGATGTAATTTTTCACAAAATATTTGTGCATTATGAAATTATATTAGCAATTCAGCAAAAATATTAAGTGCAAGTTTAAGAGTGCCATAATCTGATAATGCTAACGATACAGAACCCAAATTGCACCGAGTACCCAAATTGCACCTATTTAGCAAAAATAGCAGCGAAAATCTTACAAGTTTTCTAAGGGACTAAACAATTTATGTTTTTTTATCATTTGAAATTATGCACGTCTCTCAAATAGGTAAATGTATTTAAATATTCACAGAACATGCACAGTATAAATCAACAGATGAAGTGTTTACTGGAAAAAGTAAAATCTACCAAACGTTGCCATGCGACGTCCATAAAAAGTCATCTTTTAAAAATGAGCAAATACAATATGTTACAGGCGTCCATTTCTTAAAAAATGAATAGAAAGCATGGACTATTGTCAAATTGTTCTAAATATTTGCAGAAATAATACAAAACATCAGTTATTAGATTTTTACGGACGTGAATTTAAGCATGGATGCAATTTGGGTACTCCTCATTACAGAATCATGGGTCGTTTGGAGGTCAGTTCAAACCCATTTTTCTATGATTCAATATGGATTAAAATTTAAATTGGTGGGACTATATAGTAAATAATGATACATCTACAAAATGGAAACTTTTGTCAGGATCATAAAAAAACGTAGGTGAAAAAACTATCAAAATAGGTGCAATTTGAGTACCCCCACGTTATATTTATTCTACCTCAGTTTTACTTTATGTCAGAAGGAAAGGGTAAACTGCCTGCTGTATTAATTACCATTTGTTAAGCAGGCTGTCTTCTGATTTAAATTTTTCTATTGTATTTTTCTCAGCAACTAGATATGATAACTTCTTGCTTTTTGGTTTCAAGCATCCTTTTAGCTACCAGCTATAGCATGTCTTTTACTTTTAACTACCAGCTATAGCATGTCTTTTAGCTACCAGCTATAGCATGTCTTTAGCTACCAGCTATAACATGTCTTTTAGCTACCAGCTATAGCATGTCTTTTAGCTACCAGCTATAGCATGTCTTTAGCTACATGTACCAGCTATAACATGTCTTTTAGCTACCAGCTATAGCATGTCTTTTAGCTACCAGCTATAGCATGTCTTTAGCTACCAGCTATAACATGTCTTTTAGCTACCAGCTATAGCATGTGTTTAGCTACCAGCTATAGCATGTCTTTTAGCTACCAGCTATAACATGTCTTTTAGCTACCAGCTATAACATGTCTTTTAGCTACCAGCTATAGCATGTCTTTTAGCTACCAGCTATAACATGTCTTTTAGCTACCAGCTATAGCATGTGTTTAGCTACCAGCTATAGCATGTCTTTTAGCTACCAGCTATAGCATGTCTTTTAGCTACCAGCTATAGCATGTGTTTAGCTACCAGCTATAGCATGTGTTTAGCTACCAGCTATAGCATGTCTTTTAGCTACCAGCTATAACATGTCTTTAAGCTACCAGCTATAGCATGTCTTTTAGCTACCATCTATAACATGTCTTTTAGCTACCAGCTATAGCATGTCTTTTAGCTACCAGCTATAACATGTCTTTTAGCTACTAGCTATAACATGTCTTTAAGCTACCAGCTATAACATGTCTTTTAGCTACCAGCTATAACATGTCTTTTAGCTACCAGCTATAACATGTCTTTTAGCTACCAGCTATAGCATGTGTTTTGTACATTACCTCCTTATTTGGTGACTAGATATATTGCCTTTTAATGAAATGCATATAGAAACTCTCAGTAAATTTATAAAATAATGAGTCCACTTTATAATGTTTTCTCTATTTATAGCTATGGTATAGTTTTTTATGTATTGTTTTATGGACATGTTTGTCTATTCATCATCTTTAATTTTTTGCCATGGCATTGTCAGTTTCCCTTTGACTTATGAGTTTGTAATTTTCCTTCTGTATCTTCCGCCTCTTTTTTGAACTTCTTGCATTGGTAAAAAATGGATAAATCACTGTCATACATACAAGTGTTTATGGATCTCAAGTTATTATTATGCCCGGCCTAAGATAGTAAGGTAGCATAATATTTCCTGATCTGTGTTTCTGTCTGTTACTCCATCCGTTTGTTCAACTGTTCCTTATCAGGTTAAAGGTTTTGGTTAAGGCAGTTTACCATGAAGTAGTGGTCAAATCTAATTGAAACTTACTACACTGTAACACATGTTCCATATGATGGGAACATTTTTAGAATATATGCCAAAATTGGTTTTGACCTATATTTTTCAGGTCACTGAATAGGGAAAGGTGTTAGTGTAACTGTGTTAGTGGGGCATGGTGTCCCATTTACACATATTCTTGTTTTTTTAACATTTGAATTACCATCATCTAAGTTAACATTGAAAATTAATTGTAAAAGAAAATTGAGTTTTTTTAGTGCCACTGTTCCAAATATCAGCCAAGTAAGTTGGTATGGGAACATTGTCTGTCAATTTCTAACCTTTTTACTCATAAGAAGTTTGAACATTATTAATTGAGGTATTGTAAACAGTATTGCAATCACTATTACAATTTATTGTTTCACCTTGCAGACTGTTATGAGTTGAACAGTAGAAAACACAAGTTAATCTATGGAATAGAAAAAAATCAGCTTTGAATTATGTACCGGCAGAATTATACCAGATTGATTTGTAAAAATTCCTAAATTTCTTTATTTTATGATGTATGTTTGCCATTTAGGTTTTGGTGTCATTACAGTGTAGTCTAATGATATTCATTATTGTTCCAAGTAAATAGTACTATGAATTGTACAATTTACAACATATTTTTTACATCTGTATATATTTTTGAGTACATGTACTTGTTGGTTTTATTGCATTGCCTTAATATTTTTTGGTATAGTACTCAGGAACAGTAATATATTTGTATTATAATATATGAATTTAGAACTCTACAGACCAGCTTTACACACTGTGATATTTATGTATATGTTAATTTATTCATTCTATTAAATTTTGATAGATTTGATGATATTTACCTTTAATGATACAACCGTAAAAATAATGAGATTTAAACATAACATAAAGGTTAACACAGTGTTTGTTTTGAAAAATTCATGTCAGAAGGTTATCATAGCATTTATATTGAAACAATACATGACAAAAGGTTAACACAGTGTTTATATTGAAACAATACATGACAAAAGGCAAACTAAGTGTTTGTATGAAACAATACATGACAAAAGGTGAACTCAGTGTTTATATTGAAACAGTACATGACAAAAGGTGAACTAAGTGTTTGTATCGAAACGATACATGACAAAAGGTAAAAACAGTATTTCTATTGAAATAATACATGAAAAAAGGTGAACTAAGTGTTTGTATTGAAGAATACATGACAAAAGGTAAATACAGTGTTTATATTGAAAAATTACATGTCAAAAGGTTATCATAGCGTTTATATTGAAACAATACATGACAAAAGGATAACCCAGTGTTTATATTGAAACAATACATGAAAAAAGGTAAACACAGTGTGAATATTGAAACAATACATGACAAAAGGTAAACAGTTTCTAGCTCACCTGGCCCACAGGGCCAAGCTTTTCTCATCACTTGGCGTCCGTTGTCGTCTGTTAAGTTTTACAAAAATCTTCTCCTCTGAAACTACTGGGCCAAATTTAACCAAACTTGGCCAAAATCATCATTGGGTATCTAGTTTTAAAAAAATGTTTGATGACCCCGCCTGCCAACCAAGATGGCCTACATGGCTAAAAATAAAACATAGGGATAAAATGCAAGTTTTGTCTATTTTTTCAAAAACCGTTTTGAATAGAGAAAATCTGACAGAAGGAAAATGATCACAATGATGAGCTGTACCAATTGTCCATATATGTCAATATTGTTAGACGACTTCTTATAGGAGTTATTGCCCTTAAATGACATATTTTACCATTTTTTTTTCATTTTTGCCTATTTTCTTGAAAACTATAATAGATAGATTGCAAAAAATGATCAGCAAGTTCTACAAATAAGTCTACATGGTCAAAATCGTCAGTCGACTCCTTATTGGAGTTATTGCCCTTTAATGACAATTTTTACCATTTTTTTTACGCTTTGCTTTACATGAAAAAAATTATAATAGATAAATAGACACTTTAAATCACAAAAATGATTAGCAAGGCAAGATCTACTAACAAGTCAAATTTTGCCAATATAGTTAGTAGACTGTCACTCTTTATAGGAGTGATTGCCCTTAAATGAAGATTTTTTTTACCCTTTTTGGTTTTTTGAGCAATAAGTAAAGAAGATAGAGAAAATTAAACAGACTAAATGATCAGCAATACAAGAGCAACATAACAGAGATTTTTGTCATGAATTCTATTCTCGTCTACAATGTTGGAGAGTGTCCTCTGTTGAATATGCACATAGACCGAGGTGAGCAACACTGGATCTTTAGAGCCTCTAGTTGTAATGAAACAATACATGACAAAAGGTGAACAAAGTGTTTGTATTGAAACAATACATGACAAAAGGTGAACAAAGTGTATTGTATTGAAACAATACATGACAAAAGGTGAACTTTGTATTTGTATTGAAACAATACATGACAAAAGGTTAAATCAGTCTGTATTGAAACAATACATGACAAAATATTAATACAGTTTTATTTGATGAAACAATACATCACAGTGTTTGTATTGCAACAATACATGACAACAGGTTAAACAGTGTTTGTATTGAAACAATACATGACAAAAGGTTAAATGAGTCAGTGCATTGAAACAATACGTGACTAAATGTTAATACAGTGTTTTTATTGAAACAATACATCACAGTGTTTGTATTGTAACAATCCATGACAAAATGTTAACTTAGTGTTTTATCGAAACAATATATGACAAAAGTTAAGACATTCTTTGTATTGAAACAATATGCAATAAAGGTAAACACAGTGTTTGTATTGAAACAATACATGACAAAAGGTTTCTATGTGTTTGTATTGGAATAATATATGACAAAGGTTAACAGGGTGTTTGTATTGAAATAATGCATAACAAAAGGTTAACACAGTGTTTGTATTAAGAGTATTAACAGAATAAAATAAGTCAACTTTCAGAATGTGCTTACACTATGTGATGAGTTGAATGAAAAAGATATTAAAAGGCAAAAATACACAGCTAAACAATTGTTATTGTGTTCAGAGGGAGCCTTTTTCTGATTAAGTTTGTAGAACTGCCCTTGTGTCATAGTTATTATTAATCTACTATTATAACAAGAAAGCATAAAGTACCAATACATGACAAAAGGTGAACTAAGTGTTTGTATTGAAACAATACATGACAAAATGTTAACACAGTGTTTATATTGAAATACAATTTAGAATGGAAACGGGGAATGCGTCAAAGAGAACAACCCGACTTAACAATACATGACAAAAGGTAAACAAAGTGTTTGAATTGAAACAATACATGACAAAAGGTGAACTTTGTATTTGTATTGAAACAATACATGACAAAAGGTTAAATGAGTCAGTATTGAAACAATACATGACAAAATATTAATACAGTGTTATTTGTTGAAACAATACATCACAGTGTTTGTATTGCAACAATACATGACAACAGGTTAAACAGTGTTTGTATTGAAACAATACATGACAAAAGGTTAAATGAGTCTGTGCATTGAAACAATACGTGACTAAATGTTAATACAGTGTTTTTATTGAAACAATACATCACAGTGTTTGTATTGTAACAATCCATGACAAAATGTTAACTTAGTGTTTTATCGAAACAATATATGACAAAAGTTAAGACATTCTTTGTATTGAAACAATATGCAATAAAGGTAAACACAGTGTTTGTATTGAAACAATACATGACAAAAGGTTTCTATGTGTTTGTATTGGAATAATATATGACAAAGGTTAACAGGGTGTTTGTATTGAAATAATGCATAACAAAAGGTTAACACAGTGTTTGTATTAAGAGTATTAACAGAATAAAATAAGTCAACTTTCAGAATGTGCTTACATTATGTGATGAGTTGAATGAAAAAGATATTAAAAGGCAAAAATACACAGCTAAA